TTGCCTCTCACCAATTGACACCAATAACCCATAGCCCGCTTAATGACCTCAGCTGTGACGTCTTGTGTAATGGCGAATGCAAACTTCCATTGGGATTCTCTCACACAGGCAATTATGAAGAATGATGACACTTAAACAATAGCAGGATCAGGGCGCCCCGCTTTGTCATCATGAATGAATTCTATTAGGGCTGTCATAATGGGCGACTGAGAGCAGAGCGAGGATGAGTATCACAAGACATCATCCGTGCTTGGAAACAAAGCACGTTTGAGGTCTGGGATGTGCTTTGTGCTGGACTCTGGACCTCAATTGTTTTCTCTTTTGTATGGAAATGACTGGTTTAATGTGCTTCTGCTGCTCTGAGGGTAGAGACTGAGGCTTTGGGGTCAGTAATATGTATTTTTTTTATGTATATGAGGGGGAAATAAGTGCAGTATAGGCTAATCAAAACTATGGAGTTATTTTTAGCATACCTTTGGCTGTATATTTTATAAAAAGCAAGAGAGTGAGTTTATATATCAGGTGTATATGGCCAAGTTAAGGATTAAAAAAAAAATCAAATCAAAATCAAGATCCTATTTTTACTGTTGTAGCACAAGAATGTATGTCACACGGGACTTGAGTAAAATGTCCAAAGCATATGGGTCCTTTATTCTCACAAATGGGACGCAGTAATAGGGTTTAACTGTTTTGATTCATGGTAAAAGTTTAATTGAAAAATGAAAATATGATAAGTATGGGTGCATCGATTGATGAGAAGTGATCATCCTTAAGTGGACTAGAGTCTTAACACATGCCCAAAGATACCAAAGACAGCGGCATTATTAAATCAAAATGTCAAAAAAATGTATATATTAATAGTACACATAATATTCTCTGTCTACCCTTCAGACGCAATATTCAGCTTTTTCTTGTTAAAAAATTTATAAAATATTCAACACAATGTGAGATTGCTGCAACCCAAATGTAAAACAGTAATATGCAAATCCTTTATCAAATGCAAATGCATTTACTAAGCATGTTTTCAATTTGCTGATAATCAACAACACAGCAGCCTAAATACTCAAATAGCCTATAACATCAAAATCTATTAGTGCCCTATTGATTGTTGAAAACCAGAAAATTTGTCAAGTTTTACTAAATACTAGTATATGGTACATGCTATGCTCTGTAACCCATTTAAAGGGCTCACATTACACTATTTTCTGATCTATGTTATAAAGTTGTTTCCCCATCAAAGACATAACTGGAGTTTTGTTTCATTCACACATGTTTAACACACAAACCCTGCATATTTCAACTGAGTTCTTGTATCTAACTGAAAATACTGTTCCACCTTGTGATACTATATGGTAATACAGATAGTGCTTCATTGTGTTTTTAAACTCTATACACCTTGACTAGAATCATAGGGGATAATGTCATCCCTGGAATTTTCCAACAAAAAGTAAAAACTGTTAACTTGAAAACTATCCCTTCATGACATCACAAGGTGGAACAGAGTATTTTGAGCTTTGGAGATGCAGATAGATTAATAATAAAGATTTACTCATGCATGAATGAAACAAAACTCAACTCTAGGTATGTTTTTTGATTAGGTAACAGCATTCTAATTTGGCTTCAAGCTCACAGGAGCCTATTTTGCGTAGTATAGGACCTTAAATGGAAATAGCCTGCTGAAGCTTGGATGCTGCAGTGGATATGTTATATTTGATGACATTGCTTGTGGAAAGGTTCATACTGTACCTAAAATACGTATAGCACAGCCACTATCATGTCCAAGCACTCATAAATAAAGCCGGGCAAAAAGGTTACATATGCAGCTAAATCTCCAAGGTATAGTCAGCAGTTCCTAACCCTCTCCTCTTTGGCAAATTCAGCAGAAACCTTTTCACCTTTACCTCCAGGTCCATTCTGCATACACACTATTCTGTACTATAGAGAGGTTCAACAATGGCTAACTCCACCTAGAAAAGCTGCTGTAGTGTGCCCTCTTGTTCAATGGTTATTTGCTGTCTTAAATGTACATTATGTAACTTTTATGGTGGAGGATCCTATTTCAGTTTGTCAATAGAGATGTTATTGTCCTGTCTGAAATATTCCAAAGTATGTCATGAAACTTATCTTTTATGTATTCAATTACATTTTATGGCTAAAAAAATACTTTAAGAAACATGCTTTCAATGTGAGCTGGGTCGCCTCTCCCCAAATAAGACCTTTAACTTGGCCTGATTATTCTTCTCCATGGAGATAGATTTTTAATTAAGATTTAATGCCATACTGTGGAACATTCCGGGCAAAGTAATCTCCATGGAGACAATTAGGTGGTGGACTCTACATTCAAAAAGTTAGTGCACTTGTAAGACTTAGTGAAATGGACATAAACTCAGACTAATTATTTGTTGTATCGTGTGTCAGTGTAATACACCACCAGATAGATTAGCAACTGTAACTGAGGTGTCGTAATTGATACTATCTTTGTGTCCATAGGCAAGATATTTTAGCCATAAGTTAATATTAGCTATTGATATTTTGTAGCTAATGTCATTAACATTCCCTGTTGTATTGCTAACTGTAGGCACTACTCTGTCTGAGGATCTGTTACTCAATTTAGACTTTAATCTGAGTTTTGTTTTAACACAATCTGATCATTTATAAGAACTGATTTAGCTCAAACCACAACAGTTCATCTGATTTATGCTGCCAAAAGTCTCTTTCACATAACATCACAACCACAAGCTAAATAGCATTAGCCAACATTTTTTCTATTTTTCTAATTTTTTTCATTTAATCACTCTCACTTTTTTGTAGAAAATCAAACAACTAAACTGGACTGTGAACACTTCTATTGATCAGGATCTCCCGAAAATATGTTTTAATCCATTTTGTATATTTTTTTCTTGTTTGCAAGTGTTTGCTAAAGTGTGCATTGTGTCAACCTCTGAACATTTTGTCATAGACATAAAGGCACAACACCCCAGCATGATGTCACTGCAAAATATCGATATGTACTTACTGTAACAAAAAGGAATGTAAGGTGTGCCATATAACTTTTCTTGCAGAGAGTACAGCACCTGCTTGCTTCATGGACATGTTATTGCTTTGTCTGGAATGTTCTACATATGACATTAAATCTGTCTATCTCCATGGTGACACAACCAGGTCAAGTTATAGTCATATCCGTGGAAAGGCAACCCCACTCACAGAAAAATGCATGTATTTTTGAGGAATAAAAACACCAGTAATTGCATAAATGTTAGATAGGTTTAATGCCATACTGTGGAACATTCAAAGCAAAGGAATAATCTCCCTTTGAACCCAAGCAGGTGACAAACCCTCTACTAAAAATGTTACATATATACACCTACTTTACTCAGTCAAATAAGCATTCAAGACGGGGGTATTACACTTCTGTGGTATTCTGTATTGACATATTTAGATTGTCATGTTACCTTTTATCGTTATTTGCTGAAAACAACACATTCCATGTTTTATGTGTTTCAGTTTCAGTTTTGATGCCCCGCTCCTCTTGCTAAGTCACTCCCCTTTCAGAATGACATCACAACACAATCAGCGTGCATCCCGCTAATGAAACTACTGCACATCGCATCAGGTTTGTAATGCAGGAGCATGTTTTTGATGAGAGAACCTTATAACATGATAGGAAACTTCAAAAGGTCCATTTTAGATGGTAACCCCTCAATGATCTCTGCAAATCAAGGGGTGTAAGAAGTTAATTATGTTATTGTTGTAAATGACGTTATAACTCATCTTCTTATTGGCTCCATACAAACCAGCACTGAAACCAAAAAAGTCATGCAGACATCATTACTTAATGAACATTTATTTCACCCGTACATGCAGTAAATGTGCGTTATAAACAGTTCTGGATTCCCATTAGAGGGGCCTTGATAAAGAGAAGATGCAACATTGGATTTGTACAAAAGAATGCACTTCCAGCTAAAGAATTAGTAGTCTCTTTAGGCAATAAACATGTGGAACGGCTCCAGCCACCTCCTCCCCTCACACTGTCACATCAAAAAGGTCACCGCAAAAATAGTTGTCGTCATGAGCGCTTTTGAGAATAGTGCTTTTCAAACCGCCAAATGAAACAATGTCGCTGGTGTTTCGGAATCATCTGTATCTTATCATTGGGAGGGGAGAAAAAAATCCTCTTAAACAGAAAAACGTGGAGAGGCCAGCCGTTTCTTCAAAGTGCCTTTACCAGAGCGGCTGTTGTCTTTGAGGAGGAGGAGGGAGATTGCTTTCAGCGGTCTCTGGTTCTCATCATTCTGACAATAAAATCCCAGCAGTTGAAACAAAGCAACGTTTCATAAAAAAAAAAAAAAAAAAAAAAAAAAAAAAAAAGGAAAAAAGTGGAGGGGGCTTGCAGATTTCTGCTGTCTCAGATTGTCCCTCGTCCTGTCCACCAGCCAAAATAGCAGTGAGGCAATGGTTTGTAGAGATTTCTTTAGAGGACTTAATTCCAATCTGGCACCCCACGGCTTAGGGACTGGGGACCAAAGAGTGCGAGATGGTTAAAAAATAAATGAGTGATTGTGTGTAGAATTCCCGCAGGTTTGTTTTCGGAGCGCCAGGAATTTATTGCAGCCTTTTGTCGCCTTTGTATTGGTTAAATATGAGAACAATACCAGACGTGGGACTATAAATCAGCGTGCCATTGGAGAAAATGAGTTCAGTTCAGGCACTTCTGCTGGTTTACTATAAAACTGTATTTGTATAGAAAGTGATCTGAAAGCCGTAAGGGAAGTTATAAGGTTGTTGGCATGTGTTGTCACCAATAAAGACATAACATTCATAGAAATTTGAATAGATTTTGTATACAAAAGACACATTTCATTTAATATGGCACTACGACCACCAGTCAGTTGCATCCCATTTGGTATAACTTAATTAGGAATGAAATTATGCTTGTCTTTATAAGTTACCCTGCACTAAAATTTAAGACATTTGCGCATTATAAAAATGGTTCTTGCAGCACAAAATTCTTGAATGACATTACATTTCCAATAGTTTTAAATATTTCATATAAAACCCAACTTGTCTTTATTCCCACTCCCTTTGATAATGTAGAAATGTCTTAAAGATACAGTACCAAATTGATTTGTTCCTCGATGAAAACTTGAGTAGTAATTAACACTTAACAGTACATGCTTATATCAATATATGTATTTACACTGTACACTTTTTACATTTGCTGGCGATAAAATGCATTATAAAAAGTCTATGTCACACATCAGCAGCTGTGGACACCTGTGATAGCCTTGGGTCAGAGTCTATCTCGAAGCGGTAGTGGTAGCCTTCCCACACCTCCCTGCACGCATCCCGCATATCATAGATCCTTTTCTTGATTCCCTTTCGATTGAGGTAAAGAACAAAAAGAAATATGAGCCCGATGAAGCCCAGAACGAGCCCCAAAAACACATACGAAGTCTGCAGCGCCAAATCTCCCCCCGCATCTCTCTGGTGACACCCTAAAGTTAGCTTCCCCGCCTCTAGCAGAGACGTATTCCTCATACTGACTGGGAATGCACACACCAGTCCATCAACGTCCCGAATGCGTGCTTGCGATCTGTTGACCCACAAAGTGAAGGGTTCAATGCCGCACTTGCACATAAACGGATTGTCCCCAAGCACCAGCATTGTTCCCGGGATGTTGTCCAACTCCCATATACCCTCCTCCGGGACTGTTTTAAGGGCGTTGAGAGACAAATCAAGCTCCTCGAGCTTCTCCAGGCCCTGGAAGGTAGAGTTGTGGATGGCCACCAGGGAGTTGTTGGAAAGCTGCAAGCGGCGCAGGTTGGTCAGGTGGGAGAAGATGCGAGCGGGGAGCAGGATGAGGCTGTTGTGGGATAGGTCCAGGACTTGCAGAGCACCCAGGGAGCTCCAGCGCAGAGAGGTTGCCAGGTCCATCACGGAGGAATGGTTGTAGAGAGCACGGCTGAGGTTTAGTTCACGCAGAGACTGGTTCTGGACAGTGAAGGCCTCAGGGTGGATGACAGCCAGCTGGTTGTTGCTCAAGTCCAAAGAGCGCAGGCTGCGGAGACTAGAGAAGGTTTGGGATTCAACTTCAGAGATTCTGAAAGTGAAAATACAGGAGTTATTTTAGGAAAGTGCCATAAAATTTGGTTTGTAAAATTGGTAAAATAAATGGACAGAAGGTTCCTGTGCATCATTCGTGGAGTTATGTTAACTGAAATAAACTGAAACATGTACTGAGATATGCTTGTATGGGCTATGTGCTCCCACTATGCACGTCTACAAGAGAAGTTTGGTGAAATGTTGTGAAGCTTAGAATTTGGCTGGGACTATGCGATTTTTGAAAACATTGGTCTATATTGTAGGAAACCACAACCTACATTAAACTGGTTCCATTAATTGGTTTGGGATAGTAGCTTTACCTGTTATTGCTCAGCGAAAGTGTGGTGACATTCTCCAGTCCAATAAAAGACTCGGGTCCAATTCGGCTGATCTGATTTCCCGTGATGAACAGGTTCCTCGTGTATCTCGGGATGCCTGTCGGGATGCTCCTGAGATCTTTGGAAACACACTTCACGGTGTGAGCTGCTTCGGAGCACTCGCAGCGCGAAGGGCACGCCGCGTAAACGGACGCAAGTAGCGCGCAAAAGCAAAGGCACCGCGCGAAGTCCAGCATGTTGCAAAGAACTCTACAATTTTCCCAAAAGTAAAAAGCACGTAGGCTAGAATAGTATTGATCACACGATCAGCTCCTTGGTGACTTCATCATCACTATGTGTTGTCCCGGCTGAGAATGCGCCTCAACTTTGCGGCTTCGCGGAAAGTGTGGCCGGCGAGCAGGCTCTGATTTCCATGAGAACAGAACTGGGGGTCGTGGTGAAGTGAGGGGGCTTTTGATCCTTTGCAGTGGCAAAGCGGGGCGTCGCTTCTTCTCTCACACAATGAAGTTAAAAGGACAATCGCCTCAGTGCAATGATCTGTGGGGAGGGGCTTCTCCGAGCAGTCTGCGCCTTGTCCTGGTCCAACACTCCCTCCACTCAGCCTCCGGTGGCATGCTGCGTGGATGGAGAGCTGGAATGTCCACACTGATTATGTGCAGCCTATAGCCCGAAGTCTGTGAAAAATAAACCAAACTAGGTCTTACTTTTAATTAAACCTGCTTCGGAATTAAACCACGCGTTCCAACAAGATGTAGCCTAATTTCAAATCGCCATTTGAAATCCTTAATTCAGTGTATCGTTTTACCACCCATGCTGGTTAAAAGGAAGGAACAGAGCCTACAATATTAGCCTACCAGCAGCTCATAGGTCTTAAGCATTATGTTACAAAGTTAACGCTACTTTGAAAATGTAGCATTATATTTGGCCTTAAATGACTCTTTGGTGGGGTGCCCGGTGGATCGCGTCCCCAGGTGGAGGGGTGACCCCCGCTGAGCGCCTTTGATACTGATTCTCTTTAACACTTGGGTACTCCGCAGGATAAAAGTCAGCGGTGAGACATCAGAGCAGTGTGTTTATTCTGGAGACTGTGAGAAGTGACACAGGATATTCTGTAATGACACAAGTGTGAAGGGAGTCTCTCAGTTATTATTACTATAATATATTGTGATGTGTGAGCTTGTGTCCAAATAATTTCCCTTATGGATCAATAGTTTGGTTAAGTCTATGTCCACGTGTGGAAGGAGTTTCTCAAAGATTATAAATTATAATTGTAATAAGGATAGACCTACACCGTTTTGTTTTGTACAATAATAGATGTCTTTATTATGTCACATTCTGAGTTCACACAGTGATTGGAAGCATGTTTCAATATCCCACCAGCTTTGGTCTGCAGAATAAAATATATGTGAGGATTAAAGAAACAAAAGACGGTTTTAAACCTGCAGGCTGGAATAATTATAAAAGAATAGTGGCACCAGTAATAGCATCCCAACTGTCTTTTGTCAACAGGCTGAAAGGCTGGGACCACAGGTCTCCACATTCCTGGATCTGGCTCCTGGATACAAGGCACCGCACCAGCTCAGTCATCTCACACAGTACAATATTAGTTAAGTACATGCACGCACACAAATAGTCTGCAGTTTGTAGTTAAAAATACACTCATACATGTTTAATATAGGTTAAAAGCACAAGCCTGAATGTGAATGAAGCTTTCATAGCACAAATCATGAATGAACCGTTCATTTACTTAAAGTAATTTTGTGATTTTCCAAGATTTAAGTAATTATGGACCACCAAATGGATTTCTGTCTGTTTTTTTTTTTTCAGATTATGTTCACAGTCACAAATAGTCTATATGTTTGGATTGAGACTTATTACACCCATAATAATGTTAATATAACTATATACACGTTCATTCATTAAAGTCCTACAACAGCAATTTAAATCAGAATGATTAACAAACATACACATGTGGCTGCAGGAGTGTATTTAGAGTAAGGGGTTATGTCTTCAACATTAATTCCTCATGAAAAAATAACTGTATCAAAACCAGCCTTCTATTTTAAGGCTGTATCATATAAATGCTCTGAAGATTCATGTGAAGCTCGATTTACCAAACTGACGCTATACACATGCTACAGGCAATAGCATCACATCAACAACCACTTCCATTCATAATTCATTGTTTCCTCTGTATTGCCAGCATTCATGTGAAAGTGAAATCATGAAAGATTTAGAGAGACATATGGAGTTTTAAATAGTATGAAAATAACGGGCAGTTAGCTCAGACAAAAGGCAGCTTATTGATCACTGTGGCTCACCACAGAGGGAGACCTGAACTTTACCAACAATTCTTGCATGCAGCGCAGACACATGTTAACATGCAGTAATGTGCATCTACCCTCATCTGTGCACCATACAGGCCCAAACCCCACAGAGGCACGAATATGAGGTGTGAATTATTAAAACGTGTAGAATGAGCCTTTTGCAGAATATTACACAGCCTGGCAGAAGACACCTCATGGATTTAACCGAGCAGATTGCACCCTGTTGAATAATAACCTGGTCATTCAAAGTGTTCAGGTACTCAGGTGACCTGCTTCTTTGGGCACAGAAAGCTAAACATGCTACCGAATGGGAGGCTCTATTCTATATGCCCAGTGAAATCCTGGTGTCTTATTTTGTTAAGGACACCATATTGTACCCATAAAATGTCTACAGTACATACTAATGATATTGGCCAAAAATGAAAGCAGTGCTGGCATTTCACAATGACCTTCAGGAGAGATATGCAGAGGTGGAGAGCAGCAGGAGCACACTGCTCAATCTGGGGGAACCTGGGACATTCAAGTGGGCAGTGGGATTGAGAAGCATGAAAAACCTGAGAATCCTGACTACCTGCTGCTTTGGGCAGTGTCCTGGACAAAGAGAGGGATCAACACTTTTTCTGTTTTATTACAAACAATAAGAGGATTTGGGTTTAGTCTCCAAAACCATGGCAACAGATTTCTCAACCTGTCTCTTAAGAAATGTAAAAAAAAATCCCCTTAAGAATCAACTCAACCAAGAAGCAACCCCTGTCTTTATCATAAAACATAAGACAGGAAAACAAATGGCAGAAATTATAGTTTGGATGAAATGAAGGAAATTTGAGTTGATCCCTCTTTTTGGTCTTGGCACAGATTTAGAAAACTAAAGATTTAGAAAACTAAAACCAGTTGGTTTATCTAAACCAAATTAATAAGGATTGTTTTAATGTGTTAAAGCATGAACTGTAAACTGGACTGACTAGTACCATGAGATGTAAGCTTTTAAAAAAATATATGTTAGAAGACTTATGTACACTACTACCACATATGATACAAGACAAAATACAATCTGAGCATATATGGGATTTGTTTGCAGCTCAAACTATATTAAATCAAGCAGCAAATGTAATCCCAGGAAAGGCATCCAATTGATTTTACATGTTAGTTTTCCCTTTTAGTAAAAATGGCATCCGAGAACAAGAAATACTAGCTCAAGGGGTTAGTCTTGCAATAAAAATTGCAAAAAGTAAAATTGAACAAGGCAAGAGTGTAACATTTACTAAAATCTGTACCTGTACAAGAAGATATACAGAGCAATTCTAGTGTTCACAGGTAGTTTAGCCTTCTGTTTCAAGCCTTTTAACAATCGCAACCCATTAAGTGCATTAGAGAGGCCCTCATAGTGGAAGCAACAGGGGGTGTGCACTCCATTTTCTCCAAACATACTGCTGAATATAAATGACTTCCTTGGGCCAGGGAATACCAGGTCCACTGGACTAAAGCCAGCAGTGGATTCAGCCAACAGCCATTGGTTCTGCTTCTCTGGACACTGTGGCTGACACTTTGGTTGGTTAAAGTCCTCTCATCTGCAGGGATCCGTATGTTGTCCTTAGGTGAAGCTCCCCTGTCAGCTGAGGGTAATGGCCAGAGTGAGGGTGAGACCAGCAAGCACAAGCATCGTAAAAGGGAGCCAGGTCTTCAGAAAACCTGCACAACTGCAAAAACAAACAAACACTGGGTTATAATGTATGCAAACAATTACAGATGGATGCACTATGTAACTTTTCCATGGACATGTTATCGTTTTGAGGAATATTCCACAGTTTGTTTGTTTTTTTATGAGTATTATTAATACTTTGTTAACATGTATCGCCTTACCATTGATCTGACCAGCAATTTGGTTGAGAGTGACAACTGCTCATAGATAGATACAAAGGAGATAGATAAAATGCCATGCTGTGAAACATTTCAGACAAAGCTGTAAAAACTGAATGGTGATGAACTGAAGGCTGGCCCTCTACCAGAGAAGTTACATAGTTCACCTTTAATAACACACAGAACATTAAAACAAGATGAGATTAAATGTTTCTGCAGATTTGTCCTAGATATACCTAGAACCAGGACTCTCTCCCAGTTTCCTGACACATCAGGTTCAATGCATGCTATAAAATTATGTTCCTTTTGGGGGACACAGGAGCCTCATTCACAAATTTCACTGCTCCTTTCTTTAGTAACAATAAATCAACACTCTACAAATGTAATGCATTTGATACATATTACTGTGTACACTTCTAATCTAATTTTATATCCCAGGACAATATTTTATATAACTATGTTTATGTTATGAAATTAAAGCTATCTTTCTTTTACCTGACATGTTTTCCATGGATGAGGGCAAGCATACAAAGGTTGACCATGTTCCACGAAGTGCTGTTTTCATATCGCATTAGGTTCAGAGCCATGGCCACATGGGAATGACAGTTGTCACAGCAGAGGTTATGCTTTAATACAAAACAAACACAAGTGAGGAAGCCGGACTCCATATTATCGTACATGAGCTGTGCTCACACAGGTCAGCATCCTGCTGCTTACCATCCTGTGTTTGTATTCCTCTGAGGCATCGTTCACTGCAGTATCCCAAGCATTGGAGCCACTAGCATAAACTTTGCTAACATCAAGCATCCAGTACCTGGAAAGAAATCAATGATGTACAGGAAAAACTTAGGATAGAAGTTTAATGGCAGCATAACCAAAGCAAACGGGAATTACTTACTTTGTCGGTCTTCCAAAAGCCATGTTATCTTCCTGCACAAATTAAACAATGACAAATGTTATTTGTTTTTTGGATCTACGCTAAGATAATATAATCAGAGAAACACCATGACTGATGGAAACAGAAGACTTATTGTACTTATTTGGTAATAACCTGTAGTGCAGACAGCGGTTAAAACCAAAACAAAAGCTCCCAAAAGTACATTTGTTCACTTGTGCCATAAATGTGACATATCTCACTATCTGAAAACACAGGGTTTCCTTTTAAAGGTAGAATCAACAAAACCAAGGCACAATTTTTATAAAAGTGAATTTAAAACAGTCCAAACAACAACCTTCATTTCATTTAGACTTATCCTAACCTTGACCATAATTACTATGAGCCTAACCTTAAAACTGCATTACAGTACCTGATTTTCAAACCGCAAAAGCAGGATGTTGTTTATTATTTAAATGTATCCAACTAGTTCCTAGCAGTCAAAAACCCTTTGGCATATCGTGAGGATTCACACAGCTTTTACAGTGTTAAACTTTAGCCTAAACCCCTTCGGTCTGTAGAATAACTTTAGTGCTATGCGTAATTTCTGTTAAATCATTGTAATTTGATTAATGATTATGTTAACTGACCGAAGAAAGTAAACTAACCAACTAACTAACTAACCAACTGAAACAGGAGTGGACTGCCAACGCTCAATCGATCCTAATGACACAAAAGATTTTTTTGTCAGGTTTTGTGATTTTTGGTAAATATTTACCCAAACACACACACACACACACACCATAAGTGTAAACTTGAGGCTACAGGTGACTCACTGAAACATAGTATGGCCCGGCAAAGTCTCGAATTACTCCAGTTGAAGTACAAATCCCCATGTGTCCAATGAAAGGCAGCAGCCATCTGAAATGAGCACACAGACAAAGCCAGTGGTGAACAATAAGAGTAACTGTTAACCAAAGAGGAGAGGGAACAGTGGGGGCATCGCGGGAGACTGTGTGAGTTAGTTTTAACACTTTACATAACTAGATTAAACCAATTTAAAATATAAGTTAATGTAAAATATTCACACCCTCTGTAAGACTGGGAAACAATTCAGTTCTAGAGACCAAATAAATATTTATACAAAAATCAGTAATCAGTTTCAGGGGGAAATATAAATCCACAGTACCTCTGGCGTTATGACGTGTATAGCAGTAATAATAAACTGTGCTATTTAAATTTGAAAGTAATTTGTGATCTGAATCCTATGGATTTTATTTTATGAACATCACTCAAATTGTGGGGTTACTGTTGTATAAACTACAAAAAGTGTAAAAGTGCGCTTTTATTACACCTCATTAGATGTATTCAACAACAGTATATATCTGCTGCTAGCATGCTAGGCTAACAACATTTGGAGTCGTCACTTGATCCCGTGTAAAATCGAGACTGTCATTTGCAGGAAAACTCACGATAACACGGGGATCGGTGTCCAGACAATACAGTAAGGGAAGCGACTGGCCCCTGGATCTATTCTCTCTGAAGCTAAATGATAATTCCTCATACTCTCTTCTTTCTCGTCAACATCCGCCATCACCAGCAGCTGCGGGGAGGAGGGCGAACTTCATTTGTCCCGTTCACACTCACGTCAAGTCACGCACACCAAGACTAACCGGAAGACCACACACTCAATACAAACCAATACGATGATATATATATTTTTTTAGATCATTAGATGCACACTAAATATTCTATATGTGATAACAACTATACAAAACTCTGGCTAAGTAAATGATCAATTACATTTTATTTTGAAATAGTACATAAACCGGAAACAGCAGCAGATTTCCGGAACTTGTACATTAGTTTTGCGCTCCAAAATAATAGATAAATAAGACATTAAGTCAACTCTCATTATGCCGTAGTCATCGGACTGAAGTGGATAATATACGATAAAGACGGTCTGTTTCATATTATTTCATCACTGGCCTGGTTCACCAGTACACCAAAATCCGATTATAATCTGATTTCTGGACCTAATTTTAAATGTAAACATGTAAATTGCAAAATATGATGTTAGTTATCAGAAGGACCATGATAAGAAAGAAATAAGACAATTTTGGCTTTCACATTTCAATTTACTTATCGTCTCTCTCTCTCTCTCTCTCTCTCTCTCTCTCTCTCTCTCTCTCTCTCTCTCTCTCTCTCTCTCTCTATATATATATATATATATATATATATAAGTTCCACAGTTTGACATTAAACATTAAACATAATGTATCTTCCATTTGTTAAACTGCATGTGCTTTATTATACTGTGAGTGGGAAGGTCAGCTCTCTGCATTCTCTAATTTGGTCTACAGATTTACGTGATCTTTTCTGATCATAATCTTTGTCTTTAAGAACAGCATTTAAATGTTTTGGCATCACTAGTCCAGGCTGCCTTCAAAAAAAAAAAAAAGTTCCTAACCAAATGTCCTTGAAAGGTCCTTATGAGAGCAAGAAATTAAAGAACAGGCCATTATATGCTTCTTCTTTAATTGAATGCTGCCCATTTCTTTCTGTTTGCTTTTGCACAGGACAACTCTGGCTCTCCAGTACATCCGAGGTGGAGGGTTGCAGCTATCGAAAAAGTTATCTATGGCAAATGGTGGATGTGGAGGCAAAGAGGAACCCAGGGGATCTGCTGGAGCCCTGTGTACTCCATACTGGGTCCCATTAGAAGTGACAGGTGATATATTGTGCGAAAGGCAAAAACAAACTACTCAGCAAAAGCCTGCAGACGTTGATAAACGAAGGCAGGCTCGACTCATCATCAGGGAGCGCAGGGAATTCTCCGGCAAAATGCCACCTCGATATCTAGCCTAGCCATCTAACCCAATTAGGCCAGAAGATGTGCTGCTTCTCTGACACATTATAACTTGCAGTCAAAGGTTTTCAAAGTAAAATGTCAAGTGTCTGCTTGTTTCCAGAGTAGCTCCCTGGACAGTGGTAATAGAGCCCAAAACGAAGTCTCTCATTCTCTAATTTTAGAGACACATTATAGGCAAGACCTGGCTTCTCAGCCACTACATCCTGGATAACCCCCAGCATGCCCTGCGCAGCACCATCACTGGACAGGAGAGCACCTTCATATACTGACCAAAAAGGTTGATAAGAAAATATAATATGTTGTGAAAACTAGGGGTGCACAATATAATGCAAAAACAAACAAACAAACAAACAAACAAAAAATGATATCCGGCATATTGGCTAATGAAATAATCAGTATCACAAGAAAAGAAATACATTGCAACAACACAAAGAGCTCGAAATGCACCGGCACCGGTGAATATCTGCACTGATCCAGGAAAATTTGCTGGCTCAGTTATCAGTAATGTTGGTTCAGCCAATATCTCGGTTGGGCCCACAGACTGTTTAAAGAAGTGGAGGGAGTGTGACAACACCTATAGTGTTCGGTTCCAGTCAAATTAAGCTCAATCATGACGCTACCTAGGAGCGAATTTAAAGCCAGGTCCATATTAGCAATAGGAATTTATTTACAAAATAGCATAATAACACCAGGATCATGTAGGTTAATATGATTATTTTAAGACCAAAATGATGAAGCTCATTGCAGCAGTTACAGACAGAGGGGTGACAGTTTTCCAGTGTAATGGCAATTGGAGGCAAAAGCGCCCCCACAAACACTTCCCATTTGGAACATGGCAGCTAGTGCTTTAGCTATGTCCATTTATATATGGTCTCTATGGTTGGGCCTTTAATTGAATGTAATAAGGCTATTTATGGGCTGATTTTGGCCATTGTCTCATAATGTTTGAACTTTAATTCACACAAAACTATTCTCTTGTTACTTGGATCAAGTTTGTCTAGAGTTTCAGTCCATCCACTGGCAATATCAGACATCGGCAGATACTTAAAGCCATAGTATCGATATTTGTATTAGAACTGGAAAAGCTGTATCCGTGCATCCCTACAAAGAAAAATTACTTTTTTTGAAAGTTAAATGTGAAAGTCGATTTTATACAGGATTTTCCTTAAGTCCTACTTTAGCCTTGTCTGGATCTTGAAGTGTGAAGTGTGTATGACGGCACATCAAGGCTTGTAATGGTTTTGAATTTAACTTATTGTGTCATAAAGTATATTAAAATAGCATGATAATATTATAAATAAAACATAGTTATAATATTGCATTTTTTGTACTATTGTGCAGCGCTAGTAAAAACCTAGTGTAGCATTTTTACGGCCATGAATGATGTTTTAAATTCCCACTGGACCAGGTGTTTTTCCATTCATAACCTGTGCCTTGACCCCTGGTGAGAAAACCTTAATCCAGCACTCATTATGAATCAATCCATTGATTCTTTGTAATTTGTTGAAATAGAGCTATTGATTTTTCCCTTGAACACCATGCTCACTGCAAGTTTGGGGTAAATGAAAAACAAAAGTTCTAGTTTAGCCCTTATTACTGCAATATTCACGTCATTTATATGATATATTATATGTACTGAAGTTGACATGTTAAGAAGGATCAGCAATTTGTTAGCAACATTTGAAAAGTGGCCTGATCAGTGATTTGAAATGTCTGTAAAGTAATATCTTATGTTGTATGTATGGTCATGTGATTAACACAGTATAACATGTTTTTTATTCAAAAAGCGTGTGTACCTAATAGCTCAAAACTACAAAATTCAGGAACAGTGAAAGTTCTCAATTCCATAAGGTAAAAAAGCTGTATTTTTTTTCAAGTGCTCACATTTTGTTAATGAAAATGGAAACAGCAAATAGTTTTCATATCATACTTAAATAATGTAAACTTTAATATATATATATTTTTTCCAATAACTTTTTGTCTTACTCTTTCTAAATTGAGTGATTGGAAATACTGCCCCTTTGTGGATTCAAGGGGCTATGACAAGAGCCCCTACTGTATGAAAAGGCCCTGTCTATCAAAATTCAACATACCAGTGCAAATTCACATTATCTGACAATGCATATCTGTTCATACATTATACTTTCTTATTGCTTTATTTCTTACCTTTTGCTTTTATGGACAAAGTGGACAACAAATTTAAAGGTTCTGTATTACACAAAATTGACTAGAATTAGAATGCTCTTACCTAATCAAAAACATACCTGGAGCTGTGTTATATACACATGAGTAACCCTTTATTATTAGTCTGTATACATCACCAAAGCTCAAAATGTTGTATTCCACCTTATGATGTCATGAAGTGGTAGTTTTCAATTTAACAGCTACCTTTTACTTTTTGTTCAGTAGTCTATTCCAGGGCTAAAATCACCCAAATGAATCAAGTGATGGTGTATGGATTTTAAAAACACAGTGAATTACAGTATGTGTATTACCACATGACATTATAAGGTGGATCAGAATGTTTTCTGTTTGACGGAAGAACTCAGACTCAGACAAATATGCAGGGTTTGTGAATGAAACAAAACACAACTCCAGGTATGTTTATGATGAGGAAACAGCATTATAACATAGCTCACAAAATACCATATGTACTTTAAAGAAAAGGGGACAGCAGGTTCTACAAGTCTATATGCAAAAGAGGTCGGTTAACTGACAAGAAAACAGGAATTAGCCTCTACAATCGAAAAATTTTGTTTTACTTTGCCAAATATGCAAAAGGATAGCAATGTGTGGAATTTAAACAATGACTGGTTTTAAAGTCAACTTAAGGTTTCAATTGGTAGGTCATTTATGTTATCCTAAATCATAATATCTATAATTCATGCCTCCTCACCTAACCGTCTGGTTACTACATGTTAAAGTTCAGAGTCACTGACAAAGAATGTTCCAGTGGAGTGAACACCCCTGCACGCACTGGGATTCTAAAGTTTACTCTTCTCGCTTAGATTACTAAATAAACTATTTCCATGGTGGTGCAAAGAAACCAAATCTCCAGCAAATCAGCAGTAAGCCTAATGTCAGCAGAGATTGATTTTGTCTACTTTCCACTTTAGTGTCGTAACTGCATTCTGAAATACAGACCTGTTAATCTCATACATTTTTGTTTATCTATGAAACATCTGACTTTAACGCAGAACTAGATGGAAGCATTTCAATTTAGTTTCCTGTTGACCTTTCACAATAATTTGCATTTTCCATATTACGCTATTTTCTGATCTGTTACAATTCTGTTTCCTCATCACAAACATAGACCCAGTCATGTTTAATACAGAAACCTTGCTGAATTTAGGCTGTGTTCTTCTCTCAAACAGAAAAGCACCTTGTGATGTCATGTGGTAATACAGGAAGTGCTCCACTATGTTCTATGAACTCCATACACCTTTCCTACTCTACTGAGCAAAAGGTAAAAGGTAACTGTTAATTTGAAAACTACCACTACCATGATATCACAAGATGGAACAGGGCATTTTTAGCTTTGGAGATGCAGACATGCTAATAACAAAAGGGTTGCTCAGACATGTATGACTGAAACAAAACATAACTCCAAGTGTGTTTTGATGAAGTAACAATATTCTAATATGTCTTATAATTCACAAGGGTAATTTAGCATAATATAGGACCTTTAAAAGTTCAAGAGATTGTGCAGAATATTTTCTATGAGATACATTTTATTTTTACTATAATCATAAACAGGCTCAGGAAGGTACATTTACTCTTTATGTTTTTATGTTTTAAGAGGGAATTTGTGGATATATTGAATGTAGTAGTGTTATGAAGTATTTTAGAGCAGACTAAGTTAGTAAAGATGTAGTGATCTTCATTGCTGTGAAGGCCTTTAAAGTGTCTCACCAATGCCATTATAACCCAGCCAACCACTGTGACATCTTTACCTGTTAGGAATGAAAAAAAAATAGATTAATTGCAACGAGTCAATAAGTGAAATAATTCTTAATTAATTTAGTAATTGATTAATCATTACCAGGTCTATACACCAAACATGCTGTGTGATGAAAGAAGATGTTTAATCTCTGAACATAGCTGCTGTTTTCAAGTTCCATAAAGCTAATATGTTTGTATAATGGAGAGCTATGTCCAGTGGGTGGAAAAACAGGTTTTCCTAACATTCCCTTTATTCTACTTAAAAAGAATATCTCTGGGTTGGGTCAAAGCAAACCAGGCAGAAAACATTCAGCAGTCAGGCAAAGTAAGGCATTCAGTTGTGTAATCGGTAAAGTACATGTCATTTTAAAAAAGGAAGTTGAGTTGCTCATCTATTTTAGTAAAATAAAAATATTATGCTACTCCTCCCTGATAAAAAAAGAGAGATTTTTATTTATTTATTTTTTCTTAATACATTTTTAAAATTCGGTGTATTAAAGATTTATGGGTTTGGTATAACCTATATTTGACCTTGATTTGACTAAAAACAGGAGGGTTATAACGTTTCCAATGATATTTGACAGACCAGTGTGTTTACAAATACCTTGACATGTTTAGGATGCCTTCTGCATCCTTCTTCAGCAGTGTCATGTGATGTTACGGTGGCGTGTCTTGCCAGCGGATTTACACAGATTTTTAAAACATATACAAGTGAAAAAAAAGAACATAAAAAGAAAACGAAGCAGAATGCGAGAAGGAAACATTAGGGGCAAGTACAAGAGCGACACAGAAAACAGCAGAACGGAGAACGCCACATCGGCATCACGAGGTGGAACAGAGTCTAAAGTTCTAAATATACATGAAATGTGAATGAAACAAAACATAACTCCAGGTATGTTTCTGTTGAGCAAACAATATGTATAACACCAGAAAATACTGTAGTGTAATGCGGGCCTTTTAAATAGACATGCTTTTATTTGGTAAGGGTCTGCTTACACTTCCTGTCATTTAGTGTGGACTTGTAGAGCCTGCCCCGCCGCTGCTGCGCCCAAGTGCAGCCCACAGCGTCTCAGCAAGGATTTCTCTCGCGGCAGGAGAAGAGCTGAGGCGCACAAGTCATCGCTTGTACCGAAGAAAACTCCAACCAACTAAACGGTACGAAACCATTGTACTATCAACTGTACTTAAAATTGACTGAAAGAGCCCCATCTACAGAAGGAACTTTGCATTCTGTGAAGTGATGGGTGGAGATGTGCACAACTTTTCTCGACTGTCTCCACCAGCTAATATTTAACTGACCATTTCTTCTCCTTATTTAATAAAATTTGCAACGTACAAACTAGATAAGATCAGTTGATCAAGTGCCAAGCAAGGCGCCTGTAGACTACATAATTTCTGATTATGAAGTAACTGTTGAAAGAGGAAGACGCATTTCTGTACAGCTTCATTAAATGATTGTGGAAAACAATGCATTACTTGACTAATGAACAGTAACGGCACACAGCGTAACTTCTGGTAAAGGGTATACCACCTGTCTCCGTGGCATGGACATTCCAAGGCGCTGCTTTGAATGTCCCACTATATGACTTTTAACTTTTATCTCCGTGGGGACAAACAGGTGACGCCACCAAGATACCGGTCCCACTTGTGGAGAGGTAGCTCCAGTAAGGATAAACGTTTTCAAGGTATTTTTGTGCAATAAAAACACCTATAATGATGAGTTATAGCACCTTTCAAGAGATCCATTATTCATTTACTTTATAGGACCTACTCTGTGTTGGTAAGTTACAATTGTAGCCACAACTACCCTAGGATAGACTGATGGAAACAAGGCTTCCAATTTACACCTATAAATGCTATATAGGTAAGTTTAGTGCCTTACTGTGAAACATTCAGGCAAAGCAGTAGCATCTCTATGAGACAAACAGGTGGCATGTTCTCCACCAGAAAAGATACACAGTGCATCTTTACATAAATATAAAGTCTGGATTCAGCCGATGCTTCTCTGTCTTTGAGCATGTTCTTTAGACATTCCAGATCATCTTTCATTCTGGACCACATTGGTTTAAGGTGTTTGTCATTGGGCTGTACAAACTAGATCAGATTTGATGAAACTCAACAATGCAATAAAAGACGATATGATCAAAGTTTTTTCTACCATAGTTTTTCAAATGAGCTTTAAAACTTGTGTCTCTGAATGAGTCAATTTAACAAATAACCCTCATCGTTGTCCAAAGATATTGCTTGTTACTACAGATCATAAATCCACCCACTCACAGCAGCACTGCCACACCCTTAGCTTTCTATGCTGAACTGGCCTGTGCAAAAGAATCTAGAAAAAGCTGAAAAGGTACATTTATGAGCATTTGAAGAATGATAATCTATCTTGGAGGTGCCAGATTTCCAAATTATTAACAAAAAGGATATTGGAGTAAATTTAAGAATACCATGTAGTGTTTTCACAATATTAAAAATAATTTAAATACTAAGGAATTGACTCAATATTCAATACTGATTTCGATACAGTGATGATTAAAAATACTCTTTCTTTAGAGACAATATGTGATTTTCAACATTAAATCATTGTACTTTCTTTTATATTACCATCCCTCAGTCATCCAGGTAGGTTCTATAGTAGTCCGCTGCATAATCTATGTGGTCTTGTTCTGAAACAGTTCAAGCTCACTGTAAAGCTATTCAAGAAAGGTTCATTTCTGTCCTGTGAAGGTAACTTTTTTAGGATTGATACCTGCTCAAATGAGAGTTTAGTTTCAGTGCTAGTTTTAGTATTGATTAGTATAAAATTTTCGATACTTTTGACAGCTCTAATTTCATCAAAACCAAAAAGAATCAACAACCCCTAAAAGTTGTTTAACTGTGTTTTTGCAGGTACCAGCCATCTCCATTCTCTAGACCTCCGCAGCCATGGCGACCATCGTGGCGGAGCACATTGGCCGCCTGTTCATCAGCCTGCAGCAGATCCGGCAGGTCCCACGCATGCTAACCGAGGCCACACCCTCCATGCCTGCCACACTGAGAGACTCTGATGTCCCTGCCTGCCTTCGCGACCGTCACATTACCTCAGGTTACCGGCAACTCCACCAGAACTGGCGATACTACTTTTTTTCTCTATTCCAGCGACACAGTGAGACCCTGAATGTCTGGACTCACCTGATAGGTCTTTTGATCATTCTGGCGAAATTTTGTGATCTGGCCGAAAATGTAGACTTTGTGAACGACAGGCACGCGTGGCCACTGTTGGTTCTTTTAATATCCTCTCTCAACTACACAGCCTTCAGTGTCATAGCTCACTTACTGGGCAGCAAGTCAGAGCTTTGCCATTTCATCTTTTACTACCTGGACTACGTCGGTGTGGCGCAGTATCAATATGGCAGTGCATTAGTACACTTTTACTATGCTATCGATGCCAACATGTACAGTTTGGTAAAAGGAATCTACTTGCCGACTGCTGCTACCTTTTCTTTTCTGTCGTTTGTAGGATGCTGCTATGGAAAGTACAACAGCTTACATTCATGTATACGCAAATTTGGGCATGTAGTTCCCTCGGCGTTAGCTTACTTATGGGACATCAGCCCTGTGATTTGGAGGCTCGTCTACTGGTCAGAAGCAAGCGACGACCCGGCTCTTGTGTACCATTTTGGTCAGGTAGCTTGTTTCCTCACTGCTGCAGCTTTCTATACTTTTCCAATTGTAGAGAAGTGCTTCCCCGGACAGTGTAACTTTTTAGGTCAAAGTCACCAGATATTTCACATCTTCATGTCATGCACCACTCTGTGTCAGATTCACGCCTCTTTCTTGGACTACGTAGGCCGCAGAGACGTGTACCTGAGCCTGCACAAGAGCGGAGAGGCGGGTTTGTATGCACAGCTCTATGCATTCACAATAATGACGTGTGTGCTCACTGGTGGAGTCATATTGAGAAGAGTGAATCACATGCTGGTAAAACACAAGTGCATCTAAACCTCTGCTGAACTGTAGTGGAACTTACAGTAGTGTTGTCACGATACTAAAACTCGATTTTTATACTCAATACCAGTTTCGATACCATGATAATGAAAAAATATAGAAATAGCCAATAGAATGTAATTTTCAGTGCAAAATAATGGTACTTTCTTTAAGATACCATGTGGTTCCATACTGGTGTTGATTAAGTTTCAGTACTGATATTGATGCTTGTTAAACTGAGCATCTATTTTGGATTCTGGTTTAGTATCAATTAGTATCTGATTTTCAATACATTTGACAACCCTAACTTAAAGCTTTAGAACAATGTTTATAGTTGAGGAAAGTTCAGTAATTAAACATAGCGAGTGCAATGATTGTTTTGAATATCACTGTTTTTATTTGACTAATGAAGTGACACACTGGGTTCATTAGTCACTACTTGGGCAAAATAAAAAGATAGATTTCAATTTTTTTAGAGATTAATTTAAATCTGCGGTAGTTTCTTGTTGTGTCGTTGCACTTAATAGGGTATTGAACTATATTTTCTGTTATTCCTCAATATAATTCAATTATAGCTAATGGTCTATTTAATTCTGTTGGTCAGTTGTGCTATGTTGAAAAACAAAATGTAAAAAAGGGAACAATCAGAGTGAAAAAAATTATAATTAAATGTGCAGAAACAGAAGATAGGACTTAAATGTGACCTCTTAAGTTATGATGTACTGTTAAGGGGCATAGGATTTTGTTTTAGACAGAGATAAAAATTATTAACTTTAATAAGTATATTAAAAGGTACATAAACATAATCATTTAGGCCAGACAATCATGATAAAGAAGTGAAATTGCTGGGTGAACGTGCAAAGTTTGAGTCAGTAGGGTCCAAAGTGAAGTGAATACAGGGTTATACGCGTTGACCTGAGATGCAAATGTCTATGAATGTCAACTCTGAGACTGCATTTTCATATTAACTGTAATTTTATTGCTGGTGGCAGATTGCACATTGTTACATATTTGTGGTTGTTAAAGTGCCCTCCATGGACCACGAAAAACACAAAGCTTACTAGATAACTTCTGCATAGGCCTGTCACGATAATTACTATACTGACTTATAGTTAGATGATACAACAACACGATAGATGGAACATTTACTTTCGGGGGGAAAGATTTATCTCAGGTAGGTACTTTTTATTTTTACTAGTGGGGACCTTTTTGTTATTTTCTGTACTTTGTTGTTTTAGAATTTTTATATGTTATAGTCGACTAGTCAAGATCAGTTGATCAATCATTGCCTCCCTAGTATATGTGGATTTTCGTTTTTATTAATATTTTCTTCAGCAAGATATCATACTTTAAAATTTGTTATCGTGACAGGCCTACTTGTGCATACAGTCTGTAGTCTACACTGGACATGCCTGGAGTACCGCGTTTGGTATTTGGTGAATGTCAATGTTATGTTCTTGTCGTTACTTAAACAGACGATGGACGAGTTGAAGCTTGTTCTGTGCCAAGTAACACGTGTTGCTATTTTAGTTTCTGAAAATGGAAGGGCCATTATCCCTTATGAGGCTGAAGAGACCCAGACCCTGAGACTGCACTGTATAAATATAGAGATGTTGATGATGTTAACGCGTAAGAGTTTGGGGTTAGGTCAATTTAAAGGTGTGCTGTGTAACATTTCTGGTGGGGGTCTGTCACCAGCCTCTCTCCATGGAGACGTTGCCTGAAATGTCCCACTTATTTATCTCTGAAGACAGCGAGTGATGCCATAGGGCCAAGTTACTCGTCAGATCTGTGGGACGAGCCCACTCACAGTAAGAATGCAAGTTTTTAAGTCAATAAAAACCCATGGTATTGAGTAAATTCAAGATGGATATGTTCAAATGGAAAACAGTTGATTTGAATTGTTAACTTACGCAAGTGCCTTATGTTACAGTTCTATTTAATAAAAACGTCTATTTATTACTAATAAAGAGGGTGTACTTTAATTGTCCTACTGTCTACATTGACCTGTTTTACAACTTTTCTGTTTATTTTCACAGTAATCTGGATTTTTATGTTTTTTGGGGGCTGAAGTTACAACATTTTTTAGTGGGCTACTACATATTCTAAAAATCTTAATGCAATTTCATTCTGATGCTGTTGTGTATTAAGTTCAGTTAAATAGATTTTCTCAATTTTTTTATTATTTATTTTTTTAATTAATTATTTTTTTACTGTGAATAAAAAATGTTTTTATACAGATGAAGTTGAACTCATCGGACCTTAGTAGAGAGCTCCAGATTAGGTTAAACTGACATGAATCGACAAAATCCATTCTTTCTTCCCATAGGCCTCTTATTTTGTGAAGGGAACAGTGCTGCCTGAGTGTGCTCATTAGTGCAGTGGGGCCAGCCAGGGTCATCACTACAGTGCTACTTCCAGTGTGAGATTACCCTGCTGCTTTTTCTCAACAGGCAAACACAGCCCACTCAATCTGCCACTTCAAAAAATCTACTACTTTTTTCTTTTTTACTATTTTTTGCCATTTGCTAGTTCACAGTCAGTCTTTAGTAAAATATCCACGTTTAGTCAAAGCAATGCCAAGTGTTTTCCAACCTATTCTGATGCAAAACAAGGCTGAGCTACTTCCCACGAAAACCATACCAGCTTTATTTCACTTAACTCAAATACAGTGATTTTCTAAAACTCTGAAAATGATTTCACACATCAATAAATTCCCTCAAAGAATTCTTCTTGACTGCAATTGTTTGACCTCACCTCCACCCTATATTCACATTAATTTGAAAAGGCTGCTCCCATGTGGTCATAATGGCGCAGTGAAGTTGGGGTTGTTGGATTGGCTGAATCAGCTGAACTGACTGCTGTTGGATTCAGTCCCACATTCTTCCCACCAAACCACAATAGAAAGGACTGGTTGCTTTCATAGTGGTAAGTTTAGATACATTTAGTGCTTATCAGACCAATTCTGCCAGTACTAAAAGTACTAATAAGATTACTAGCACTACTATAACAACTAATAGGCAAGGCAAGTTTATTTGTATAGCACAATGCCTGCACAAAACAATTCAAAGTGCATTAAAGAATAAGAAATACATTAAAATCACACACCCGAATTTAAACATTTTCAAAGTAGAAGCCTGTCTCACATCTTGAGGAAACATTTTAACTGCATACAACTGAAATACTCCCACTACTATTTAGAATACAAATGCTTTTGTTGTTACACCAATCATAAAATACAGCCCTCAGGTAGGCCTACATTACATAAGTATAAAATGGTATTCAAGTTAGTGGGGCTGTTTGGGTGAAAAAGTTTGCACCAAGAGTAATATAAGTATTTTGTATCAGTAAATCTATTCTCTGCTTCTTTCATGTGAAAATACTTCCTCATTTCTGATGAAGGAAGTAAAATAGAGAAGAGGTGTTGCTGGTGTTGGAGACCATTTTAAATATGTGGACATATTCTTACAGTCCCACAACATTTTTTTATCAAAAATATTAAGGGTCCTGTAGGTGTATTTATGTAAGGCTAGAATGCTGTCGGGGTGAATAACACATTAACAATTAGCTGGATAATATGATAGATCTTTTTTTAAATGTTTTGTCTGAAAAAAATAGCTGGTCAAAAGTCTTGGCTAAGTACTAAATCATTTATAAAATATATTTTACTTGTTATTCTACATTTCCTGTAAACCCTTTCAAAGCCTTCATTAGCTGATGTTGATTTTATTTTGACATGACCTCGGTATTACCGCTTCCGGTTGTGGATTGCAGTGGGCTTGACAGCAAGACTCGGGCTACTCGTAGCAGAAGCACAAAGAGGAGAAAGAGCTGCAGTCATGGGAGTGAAACTGTACTACACCACTGTTGCTGGATCGCGCTCGGTAAGTCCAGTATTTACACACAAATACATAGTATATTGCGCTCATCCCCTCAGTTTGGCTGTTAGTACAATGCCCATTCCGACAGACACACCCAGCAGCGGTCTATCAAATAGCTTTCTCCTGACCAACTTCGATGGGCCCTTGCTAATCTAAACCTGTGTCTGGCATTAATGTTTCTGTTTGATGGCTAGATGTGGAATGGACTGTGAAGTTGTTAACAACAATGAATGCATGAACTTGTCGTCCAAATTCTGCTGTGATGGCAAGTGTGCCCATGCCTACCATGTTATTCAACCGTGGACCTTGCTCAGCTTGGCATTCTCTGTGAACTGAAAACAGGCACTCCTAACTATATTTTATAGTTGCTTTTGCCAAAGTTGCTTTTACAATTCATTCGCCTAAATGCGTCTCTACTCAAACAGTCACGCGGTGATGGATCATCCTACTTCTGCAAAATCATGAGGAAGTCCGCTATGAGCCATAATATCAAGCTATTTCTATGATAAAATGCATTCTGTTTTTATTCTGAGGAACAGCAGACATCATGTATTTGGCCAAGAGAGGAACTTCAACATCTGTTATCTATTAAGTGAGTGGAATTGTGAAAAGCTTGCATTTAGCCACAACCTTTTGTTTTATTGGCTGTAAATGTTGATGAATCTATATTGAGGTTTGGAGAAGCCAAAAGCTTAAAACTATACATTAACTAAGTGTCTGCTCTTTACCCAACAAGTGCTCATTTCGTTTTTCAGTTATAGTTGCATAGGTGTGGCCCCTTTTGCAAGACCCCCTCCCAACTTCCTCAGTAGTCCAAAATGATAATGTTGAGCAGGTTGATTAATCATTACCAGCCAAAGATAAAGACATGTTTTTTCAAGGTGCAGCCTTTGAAAGTAAACATACAGAGAGTAGTGCTACAGCATGACCTAGCCCTGTATGAGATCTTATTAGAAAGTTTTTTTTATTTCAGTCAACTGTATGGCTAGTCATGGGTTTCTTAACACAATGGTGTTATGCACCATTTTGAGGACTTTTTCCATTCAAGAGATATTATGTTCAATTTTAGAGTGTTAACGTTTGTGGCAACAGTCCTAATTTCTCATTCTGAAACCTATGGATTAATTGTGTTCAGAATATTTAATTTAGTAATATAATAGTAATGTTATATTGATAACTGTATTGTCGCTTTTCTTTTGCAGATAAAATCGCAGCAGTCGCACATAACCCGTGTCCTGGATAGTAAAGGCATTAAGTATGAAATCATCGATATCTCTCAAGGCTCGGAACTTCGGGACGAGATGAGGAACAAGGCGGGAAATCCTACTGCTGTACCGCCTCAGATTTTCAATGAAGACCAGTACTGCGGAGTAAGAACAAAACCATAATTCACAACCCTTTATTAAGTTATTGCCTATATTTGCAATGTCATAATAGTACTGTTCCTATTCATGCATAATAATCATCTCTCTAAATGTAGTTCCAATCCTTAATAGTTACTGTTAATCTTGATTTAAATTATTAAAATGCTGCTTATTATATAGCCCATTCATCAATAAGTTCATGTTTTATTGATAATTTGTTTTACAAAGTTATATCTGATCAGTGTATTGCATCTAATTTCAAGATTTTATTTATTATAATTCACATGTTTTGCTTTGTAATGACACATTTATGTGTAAGTGCTATACTTTACTAATACTAATTTAACTATTTTATTTATCTCACATTGCTAATCTGTTCTTTCTACAGGATTATGAAATGTTTTCAGATGCAGTTGAAGCAGATACAGTGGAACAATTCCTAAAGATGAAGAACATTTGATCACATATGACTCTGTACAACCATGCTTCCTCCTTCCTTTGACTGCACCACTGGCACTGTCCCCTCTCCATCAGCGCCATAATTAATGCCAAAAATTTCAGATGACATACATTCCCCCAACTACAACTCAATGAGATTAACATTTATTTCAGTTCATTTTTGATGTTATCTTAAGGATTTGTTTAGATTCCAACATTCCCCTACATTCATTTAAGATTTTTTTAAAATTTCTTTTTCCTAACATTGTGAATCACTAAACGACAAAGAGATGTGTGTTTTCCCAGGTATTACCCAAAACATCACTGTCAGTCTTATTATTTTGTGTTTTATTGTAGTAGCCTTTTCTGATAAACTGCACATTATGTTCTTACATTTCAATTGCACACAACAGTAGCAACTAATGCACAGTCTTAATTTCAAGAAATGGAAGGTTTTATAGTGACAATGCTCTGCCCAGTTGAACTCCTTTTGTCGCTCTGGTTTAGTTAGAATTTAAGCAGAATAATGTGTTTTCTTTATGAAAACGTTATTAATTGATCACTTAAAAATTTAACTAAAATATGGATTAGTTGACTGTAAAGAGCCACAATTAGGCCTAAAAATAATTTTTAACAATAATCTCATTTCCATATTATATTTCCTAGGTGCCAATGTATATTTGATGTTTTCAATGTAGTATTAGCACTGTAGTATTAGCACTAATCTGCCACTCAAGAAGTTAATACTTGGCACCAAAGGGTGTGCCGACTGAATGGAAGCCAAAAACATTTAATGTAGAATAGGCTACAGGTTTAACAAAGAATCTCTATCAAGCGTTTAGCTTTGTAGCTTTTTCTCATCTTTGAATATTTCAGTCATCCGGGCAATGAAGATGCAGTAATGCGACTATGCACTGAATCCCTGCCTGATTGTGAATACAGACAGAAAACTTGAGTAGATTGACCTCACTCATTTCATGGAACACATGGTACATGGGGAAAATTTTCCACTTACCATCTGTTAAGTTCATGAGTTCTCTGGCCTAGCCTCTTTGATTACACTTATGTATTGTTACGGTTCTGGATTGCTAGCAATGTCGGCCTTCACCCAACGTTTGTGCAGTGTTTGTAAATTGATTGTTGTTAGTGTTTGCTTGTTCCTGATGTTTATTCACTATGAACCATAATTAGACATTCCATGTCTCTCTCTGAGCTCCTGCATCTTTTTTGGACCAATTGCCCTGGCCAAAAACAAAACAATAGGGAATATGCTGTTGTCTTCCAAGAAGATTGTGAAAAGTGATTTATGTGTTTAAACAATAAAACAAACAATAGTTCAGTGTTTTTGTCTTTATTGAGAATTGTGCATAAGAAAAATAATAAAAAAATATAGTTCTACAATTATTATTATTTTTTTATTTTAGTAAAAACTTTTATAATGTAAGAGCCTGAAGCCTGTTTCCCGTTTTCTAGTTTAATTGCGGTCTCTCTCCAAGAGAGGGCACTAATGCTTATTGTTTATAAAAAAAAAAAAAAAAAAAGAGGAAGAAGTCCATGGGAAGTAATAGATCCATGGAAGTAATCTATACGTAAAGGTTATAATTAGATTATAATTTGATTGTTTGAATCTATTCTAAAACAAGAGTTAAACTCTCCCGTTAAGTGAAGTGAGTGTGTTTTACTAATGTACTTGGGTTGTAGAAACTAAAACTTAATGCTTTTGTTGCATTTTATTGTGAAAAGAAAAACCCGGATATACTCTAGTCTTACTTGTTGTCAAACACTGGTCGAAAGAAGGAAGCTGGAATTTGACAGGTTACTGTTACTGTACAGGTGAGGATTATATCTTATATGCTATAAGAAGAACCGTAATAGGAAGGACATAGAACAGACAGTAGTGACACATATTTCGCGCTTTTTCCCATCATCATTTCTCTGACTGTCACTGAATTCAGGTTAGCTTGCCAAGCTATGCTAGCTACACACACTCTTCCATTTCTGCACAAAAGTGTGCATTTTATATAATTTTATGTAAATCTTATGTTAATTCCTGTTAAATATTTGACATAGCCTTTAGACTGTTATATTTTAAGGATCTTAAACTTGTGTCATTCTTAATCTTGAGGTTTTCCTCAAACTACTGAGCCCAGTTCGTTAATTGAACACTGTTATAAATCCTAATCATAGTAATTATGACATCAGGTGTTAGAACTCCTATAGCGCACAAACGCATTCATACTAACCTCACCTTTGCTTAGTATACTGTTACAAATGATATTCTTGGTAACATAAGAAGCAATGAAGCACTGAGCACAATTTGCTGTCCCAGACTATGGGGGCATTTGTCTCCCCTCATGATGGAAACACCATCTTTTGTCACGTTTCATAATTTTTTCATTTGTTTTCATATGCTGTTTGACAGTTCTAATAATACTGTCTCTTTGAAGCCCTGTGTGGAGATGAGTGTCCCTGACTACATGCAGTGTGCTGAGGACCACCAGACTGTCCTTGTGGTGGTCCAGCCAGTGGGTATTGTACCTGAAGACCAGTTTTTCAAGATCTACAAACGCATTGCCAGTGTCAGCCAGGTGAACATCCGAGACTCTAATCGTCTCCTCTACATCCGCTATCGCCACCACTACCTGCCCGAAAACAATGAGTGGGGCGACTTCCAGACCCATCGTAAGGTGGTGGGGCTCATTTCTATCACCACCTGCAATTCAGCTAAAGAGTGGCCCCAAACAGCAGAGCGCTTTCACGGGCAGAAGGAGGTATACAGCTCCACCCTCTATGACTCTCGTCTGCTCGTGTTTGGGCTCCAGGGGGAAATCGCAGAGCAGCAGCGCACAGATGTGGCCTTTTACCCAGGCTTTGACAACTCCTCAGATGTGGAGAAAAGAGTGGAGGACTTTGTGGAGTCTATATTTATAGTTTTAGAGTCCAAACGGTTGGACAGGGCCACAGACAAATCTGGAGACAAGATCCCTCTCCTCTGTGTGCCCTTTGAGAAGAAAGACTTTGTGGGATTGGACACTGACAGCAGGTGAGTTGAGTTTGTTGTCTGTGCAATTTAACCATTTGAACCACTGCTATCAAACACTGTTGAACAGAAATATTTTGTTGTTAACACCTCCAGTCACCATTCTTTATGAATGCATTATTATGAATGCATATTATGCACACAAAGTTGACATGGTGTTCTTGACACAGTATTTACATAAGTCACTGTTCAGTATGGAGCTCAACAATGACTGCTTGCTCCAGTTCTGGATGTAAATTTCTCAGTTATTCCCAAAGACTTTCCAAAAAAAAAAAATGTAATTAAATATTTTGTAAACTAATCAGACTAATCAGCTATGTGGTCATTTTATTTAAAATCAGTTTCTGAAACTGATTCTAAACGCTGTTATTATAGTTGTAGTTATTACAGCATAAGTTCTTAACACTAAGTTGTTTAAGCATTTTGCTGAATCTGTCTTTTGTTAAATGAGTTTTTCGGATTTAAAACAGCTGCGTTACAGATATCATTAGCACGTAGCTGGTTAGCCTTCGCGATGCCTTTGATCTCTTAATATTTGGATTTTTTTTTTAAATGGGAAAAATGAATGGAAATTTTACTTCTGGAAGCAGAGCGAGCAGTCACTGTTGAGGCCCTCTGACCTTACTCAGTCACTGTTCAGTATTTATTGCCATATTGTACAAGTAAGACACGCTCATGGTAGATCTTGAAATGCTTATCTCTCAATCTTTATGTGAAATAAACATGAATTAATGAAAGTCCACAAAGATATTGTGAATCTTTAAATTTTTATTATATGTCACAATGTTTCCAAAGATATCCCTTTTTTTATGAACAACTGTTTAATTGCTGTATGGGTTGAATGCATTTAACTTGAACTAATATAAGTCAAATCACATCCAAAAATCAATTCCAGTGAATTCCAAGAGCGCTGTACTTAACATGTCTCTGGTGTTCATATTGTTTTCAGTTATTACAGTGTATCACACGTTTTTGAATGCTGTTTCTTTTCCATAACTCTCTCACCAAATATTCTGTCAAAAATCTGCCACCTGATTTTTGCTGCATTCATTTGTGTCTGTCCACTTTGGTTATTCTGTCTTTCTTTCTTCTGTTTTACTGTCCTGTGAGTTTATTGTTGGGTGCAAAAAGGTGAGATGTTAGAGTAACACAAGTTAGTTTACCTGTAGTCTTCCCATCAACTACCTCTGTGCTCCTGTGCCTTTGCTAAGCCCTTCCTATGAGTCTCAAATAGTTTCCTGGTACCAAACATACCAATTATTATTATGGTCTCTGTCAGTTTTAGCACTGAGAATCACAGGGTCCCTCAGGAGTCAATAAGGTATACAATATATGGCTTAAAATAATATTATCACGATATGGCAATACATGCCATAAGCGATATGTTGCACATGAGACACTGAATATATTTTAGGAATAATATTTCTTTAAACCACTACCTGTGCAAAGTTGATATGAAATACATCTATTTTAATCATCAAACCAGTGAATATGTCAAGTGTGTTTCATTAACAAGTTTCCTTCCACTAAACAAACAGCAAAACTGTAGTGAGTCCGGTCACACAAAAAAAAGGCTAAAACATACCAAATATACCCTTGGCAATATATATACAACAGCTCACGATAACAATACTGATTTAGTATCACAATATTTCAGTATTTTTGCACATCCTTAATCAATTCCATATTAGTCCTACTAAAATTAATTAAATGTGTTATAGATCATGTTAGTCTCACTACATTGTTGAAGGCCTACAGAAGTTAAACCTAATGAAGAAATATGGGCCTTTTAATGTGAGGAGTTCTAGCTGCAGAGGCTGGATCACACTGTAACCACATGAATCTGATCATAGTATTCATGCATGTATGACCACAGCCAGTTTGGCCCAGTGAGACATATCAACATGGATGTGGGGACAGCATCCATGTCCAAAAAATGCTGCATTATTCCCCATGAGCACATTGTGTATGTTAGCTTTGTGCTCTCTTTAATTTATTCCAAACCTATAAAAGGTGATTTAGATTTTTTATTTTTTTTTCCTGCGGAAGACATCCTGTCAAAATCCTACCATGCCGCCATGCCTTTCCAATATAGTCATCTAGTCCTTGTGATTCAACTATGTAAACCTGCTCTGTCCCTGTTTTGTTGCTATTGTTTTTGCTTGTGCTCTCCAAGCTCCAACCACCCTGGATAAAATATTAAATTTTCTTTCTTGTAGGAATTCTCTTTATCTGTAAATACATGTGAAGCTATTTGAAACAGTGTCATGTTTTTTCCTTTCATCTGCATTGACTTTGCTTTGCCTGCTGCTGCTTTTCCTCAGGCACTACAAGAAGCGGTGCCAGGGCCGGATGAGGAAGCATGTCGGGGACTTGTGCCTGCAGGCGGGCATGCTGCAGGACGCGCTGGTCCACTATCACATGGCTGTGGAGCTCCTCAGGGGAGTCAATGACTTCCTCTGGCTCGGTGGTTAGTGGCATTTTCACTGCTTGTAATGGGTTAGCGTCCATTTGTGTGACAATGTTTTACATGCAACTCCTACTCAAAGTATGCCCAAAAATACAAAATGAGTGACTGTGGCTGTATGAGAAGGGTTGTGCAATTAATCACATTCAAGATGTTAAAGGAAAAAATTAAATTCTGTTCTGGATTTGGATCTCATTCTGCCCCGCAAAACCTTAATTGAAGCCTCTTGTCCGATGTAGGATGGCTTTAGTTTGTATTACTGGCAGTATGACAATCTTTGTTCCTTCTCTCACCTATGGTCATAAGCTGTGAGCCATATCTGAATCAAGATCTTGACCAGTAAGTGTTGAAATAGACCCTTAGAGATGGGATGAGGAATTCTTACTGGAGGAGCGTGGAGCCATCTGAGGTGGCTTGTGCAGCTGTTTCTGATGCCTGATATGGGTAGTCTGAGCAGTATATAAATGTCTCAAATATGACCCAAGTATTTGTGATTATGAATTTTCAGTTCTATAAGAAGGCACTGAATAGAAGAAAAACTTTTGTATTGTCTGTTTGTGCCTCTCCAGCTGCGTTGGAAGGATTGTGTTCAGCTTCTGTCATTTTCCACTACCCTGGAGGCACTGCGGGGAAGGCAGCAGGACGCAAGCCAAGCATATCCCAGGCAGCAGACACAGGGAAGCGCCATCGACCAGGTACAGAGCACTTCAGTCTGTGACACAGGAGTCAACACAGTACAGCAGAAAGCAGAATCCAACAGACGTGCACATCTTTATTTAGTCATGGCCCTTTATATTTGTGCATAACTTCCTTAACAGTCTCGAGATGCTACATTAACTCTAATTCTAACATTTTATTTTATTAACAAATGGTTGCATAATTGTCTGCATTTGCCTGCCAGTTTAACAAGAGCAGTGCTAATGTTTTTTGGAGATCGGCGGGCATATTAGTGGGTTAGAGGAGGACAGAGAGTACATTTTGATAAAGTAACCTAATTCCTTTGCATGTTTATAATAATACATTTTTGATAATAACTTGCATGTTATCAGGGGTGTTGCTTATGGTCTTGGCTTACTCTTCTAACGCTGTGCTTGTTGTGAATCTGCATCTTTGTCTTTGTCTGTAGGGGCTCAAGAGGTTCTCATTGACCCAGGTACAGTATGCCTAACAAGCTCATGTTTGCATGTCATTCTAATATCACACTTCACCAGACACACATGTGGGGTTTTTTTGCAAATAGATCCTTGTCTTTTCTTATAGTAATTTAGTGATTTTTCTGGTCCACTACTTTGTTGTGTGTATTTTTAATTTTTTTTTTTTTATTTGATTAATGAATTTTATACATGTATTATCTGCCAAAATCAGAATCACCTGAATTGTGTTCTCTTCCCTTATTGCTTTTGTTTAGTACCAGCAGGTGGCAGTCCAATATCATTTATTTTACTTTGTTATCTCCCTTTTAACCTCACACTGGCTTTGGCTCACTTGTTATGATTTGTATGATTTCTTTAATTTTATGTGTCTTATTTTCCCTGCTCTTGTAGTTAATGTTAGTTTGAGTCGTTTGCACATTTCAGAACAAAAATGTTGACCACTACTGTGACTGCACCACATTGTTGCCATGGTCACAGCATGTTGCCAGGCAATATGCTCTCAATTTGTATTTATATTCTGATCAGATTTATCCAATTGCTCTTTAATTGCTTTTCAAACAATAAGTTCAGTCTTACAGTAATTAGGGTTTATATGTCTTTGTGGCAAACAAACTCCAAGATAGACTACAATGGTATCTGATGATTGTTAAAAAATATTCCATTCTCTCAGCAGTGTTAAATTGTGTTTGGTTAGTAGAGCTGCGTCCATATCATCAAAATACAATTTGATCTTTCTATTCTTCTTATTTTTGGTGGATAATTGTAACCCTTTTATCACTGAGGTAACAGCAGCATGTCCTATATGTTCAGGTGCCCTTACAGCCAACGGTATCAGCGCAGACACCAGCACTGAGATTGGACGGGCAAAGAACTGCCTGAGCCCAGAGGACATTATTGAGAAGTACAAAGAAGCCATCTCCTACTATGGCAAGGTATTTTGACCAATGATATACTCAGGAATAGTCACAAGATTTTTTTAAGATTAAAGTTTCCAAAATTGCTTTGTTTGGTATTATCATTTACATTCAAAAGGTAAAATGGAGTAATAATGATTTATTTTGTAACAGATCATTTTTGATTACATTTCCTCAATTACATTGGGAAAAAAAACTTGAAAAAAACTGTTTTGCCAATATTTGCTGCTGGTTCTGGTAAAATAACAGTTGTCATTGTGACTTGGATCAATAGGGGGCAGTAGCAGATGTCAATTGGGTTTTGGCACAGTGCTCTGAAATGTCACATTGTAGTATATGCTGGGAGCATCTTATTGAGCTGTGCTTCTTGAGATAATCCTACCATAAGATTTTCTATGTATTCTAAAATCTATTAGATGTGTGCCAATCTGTAAAGAAATTACCTGTATTTATAATTATCAGATTGTGTGTGTATATGCCTTGTGCTGTGTTTAGTATAGTTCTGTTCACTCAGATTTTGAATAGAATCATTGTTCTTCCAAACTGTTCTACTAATTCCTTACTTTATCTTCATTACACTAATTGCATTTTTGCACTGACCTCCCTGGGCCCTTTTACCTGTAACTAGTTCATTCAGAATTAAATTACTTCTCAACACGCAGCTATTGAGTGCTAATTGAATTTTAAAAAGCAGACAATGAGGGATAAAGTGGAAGGAAGTTAAGGGCTGTGCATATAAAAGAAGCAGTGTTTTATATTCTGTAAAGCCTCTATCCCTGTGCAGTCCGGTCTCCACTTGAGACCAGAGGGACTGTCTGTCACATGCTCTGCACAGCCTGGTGAGAGCAGTCATGAAACACATTCTCCCTGATTATGAGGCAAAGCTCATTGACTATTCACTTTTCATTAAGACTTGCTGTCCTTTTATTTTCTTATCTGCTCAGTACAAGAACGCAGGTGTGATCGAGCTAGAGGCCTGTGTGAAAGCTGTGCGGGTGCTGGCCATTCAGAAGAGAGCCAGAGAGGCCTCAGAGTTCCTACAGAATGCTGTCTACATCAACCTGGGACAGGTGCACACACCTCTGTGGCAGCTCACTCTGATTAAACACTGCTCGACATACAGTTCTCTACCCACCACTGACACTTTGATTAACTTTTCATTATTTCAACTACTCTCTGCTGAGCCTGCTGTGAAAATGTGCGTGTGCTGTTTCCCTCATGGTCATTCTTCTCTATTACTTTTTATAGGCGCCAGTTTACCATCAACGTTATTCAAGGTCCTATATTATGCAAAAATGACTATTATGAGCTTTAAGGCTTGTTAGCTCCTTAAAAACATATCTGGAGTTGTGTTTCGTTTCATTCATACATGTTTGAGTAATCCTGCATCAGTAGTCTGTCTACATCTCCCTTACTCAAAATGCTCTGGTCCACCTTGTGATGTCATGAGACAATAGTTTTCAATGGCTACCTTTTGCCTTTTGTTTAGTAGAGATTGGAAATTGCAGGGATTAAATGATCCCAGTGATTCTAGTGAAGGTGTATGGAGTTTAAAAACGCTATGGAGCCCTTCCTATATTACAACATGACATTACAAGGTGGAGCAAATATGCACAGTTTGTGTGTAAAACATGTGGAAGAAATAAAACACAACTCCAGGTACGTTTCTGATGAGGAAACAATATTATATTATAGATCAGAAAATAGTGTAATATGGGCACTTTAATAAGAACGGACTCATCTGAACTGACCATGATTCTGCTCTTGTAGCTCTCCGAGGAGGAGAAAATCCAGCGCTACAGCATCCTGTCAGAGCTTTATGAGCTGATTGGGTTCCATCGTAAATCTGCCTTTTTCAAACGTGTGGCGGCCATGCAGTGTGTGGCTCCTACCATCCCAGAGCCTGGCTGGAAGGCTTGTTACAAGCTGCTGCTGGAGACTCTCCCTGGGTACAGTCTTTCTTTGGACCCCAAGGACTTCAAAGGTTTTGTATAACTCTAAATATCAATAATACTATCCTTTGAACCATGAGAAAAGTGCTGTAATTATTTTTATCGGGGATATGATTTAAACCAAGACAAAGACTCAGGTTTCCTTGTTGTGTTGCCATCCTGCCACATATATTGTATTTGGTGGTATCTTATGATCATTTACATCTTGTTAATATATAGTAATCTAACGGCACTGTGGCATCTCATTAGCCCACACACAAGTTATTTCTCCATTTTAATCATTAAGGTGGCTGATGGCGCTATGGCTTTTGTCACTTTTTGTGACACTGTGATTTCTGGTCCTTGGTAACATGATTATTTTCCCACTGTGCTAATTGTCTTGCCTGACACCTCAGTGTTAGAGCTGAATACCAATAACAGATCTGAAAATAAAGCCATTTTGTAAGAAATATACAAGTAGTCCTCACTTGATTCTTAGATGCAGCATTAAAATACACTTAGAAATATTATATAATTATTTATATATTATATATATATATATATATATATATATATATATATATATATATATATATATATATATATATATATATATATATATATATATATATATATATATATATACACATATGCCTGATAACAAACAATTACATTTATTTAGACTTTTCTTTTGATTTATATTTTCAAAACTGAAAATGAAATCCTTGTGTATATTTTGAATATTTTATCTTGCATTATGACTCATAATCATGTCTCAGGTACTCACCGTGGATGGGCTGCTGTACAGATGCGTCTTCTACATGAATTGGTGTATGCCTCTCGTCGCATGGGCAACCCGGCCCTATCTGTGCGCCACCTGTCCTTCCTGTTGCAGACCATGCTCGATTTCCTCTCCGATCAAGGTCAGTTCACAATGACCTCCTGACAATAATGTTACAGTAGTGGAAAAGGGTTCAGTGTTCCATGTATTAAGGTCGGTCAGGTGCTTCTGGTCAGATGAAGTTGTTTTAGTGTACGGTTAGTGTGTCCAGTAGTCAGTGCCATGAACAAACACCACTTATCCCTGGCAGGATTGCAGTATTGTGCTTTGACCAGAAATTCTGTGCAACTACCAGATGTAGTTTTTACAGCGGCAGTGAAAACCAAGCAATCCACCGCTCCCACAATAGAGCGACTGTAATCCTTAGTTGGCTAAGAGTTTGAAAAAGGAAGTGTGGAGGTGAGAAAACACTATTTGTAGGGCCACTACTGCTCAGACAATGACTTTCTCATCTTTTGAAACTGTATCTTAATTTTCAAGATACAACAAAACACATCTAAACTACTCTTGAAGCAAATTATAAAGCCCATCAATAGTCTGTTGAAACTTCACCAACCACACCTATGTGGAATTTGGTGTGGTGATGGTTAAAAGGCATACACACAGTTAAATAGGTGCAAGACCCCATCCCACAAGTCCCATAAAATGTTGGTGTGGAGTTGCCTGGGATCTAGAATAGAGACTTCTTCAATACTTACGAGGATTTGAGTTTGGTCACTGGTGAATCTCCCCTTTTTTAAATGGGCGTGATTGACAGATGGATTAGTCCATCAAGGACACGAATGGTCCATTCGTATCAGAAAATATAAAGGAAAAATATCATGGGGGGCTGAAAAACATCACATAATTCTGTAGAATTAATGATCCAAGATCTAAACTCTGTTAATCTGAAGTGAGATTACATTTTATTTGGAAATGATACATGACCAATGAGCTCCATCATTTCACATACATCACTGAAAAAAACAAGTCTGATTACACAATAACGTTTGACTGGGCTTGAGAAGTGAAGGAGAGCATGGGGACTTGTATCAATCTGTACAAAAAAAACAAAGCGATATCATTCTGGATTTGCCGGGCAAAGTGTGGAATGAATAATCAAGTTCCAGCTGCCTTTATGAATTAATTATTAATTAACGTTTCAATTGTAGCATGCCTTTGGTGAGATAGTTGTACAGTAGATTTTGCCCACACTACATTTCTGAGAGCTACTGTGAAAAGATTCCAAGCCAAAGCAAATTGTCTGGCTGACTGAACAGTAATGTTCTGCTAAAGGGTATTGACAACACAGTAAAGGCTTCAGCTCTAGTCCAAGGGTGAGCCTACTTGTGCTGAGCAAGAGACACCTCAGAGGCCATTAATGTCTCTGTAATCTGTAATTTATATACACTAAGTTTAACCTCAGAGACAAAGGGGGACCTGGAGCAATATAAGCTTAACTTAAATGTATGTCCTAAAATGTGCTTATTACATTTAAGGATAGTGTTATTTCACCTCCCTTCTTTTTACAGAGAAGAAAGAAGTGACCCAGAGTCTTGAGAACTACACGTCCAAGTGCCCTGGTGGAATGGAGGTCATTACTCTCCCTGACGGCCTGAAGCTTCCTCCAGTGCCCTTTACAAAGCTCCCAATTGTCAGGTATGTCACTATGTTAGACTTATTTATAAATATACCCTTTCCTTGATACTTCACTCATGGAAATAATTAGTGCTATTTTATTGGTAAACCCCATTCACACTGATTGTTGTTCTCTATCATTTTTGACTTTTAGATCAGTTAAGCTTCTTAACCTCCCAGTCAGTCTGCGTCCTCACAAAGTAAAAGGGCTGCTGGGACAGAACATGTCCAGTGCCAGCCCCTTCATCTACTCCCCCATTCTCCTCCACAACCGAAATGACGAGCGCTGCAAGAAGATAGGTAAGCATTAAGGAGGTTTAGCCTGTACAGATTGTGACAGTACTAACAACAGTACTAATATTGAATATTCGATCATTTATAATTAGTGAGTAATTATAAAAATATATGACTACTTCATGAGAATCTGTTCAGGTCTCAAGTTGAGGCCTATAGAGGATCAAGCTGAGGAGTGAGAGGAAAGACACAACTCCTCCCTCCTCTCCTGTTTGCTCCCCCTCCTCTCCCGGGTAGAGAGGAGGCTGACTGCGTAGTGCGCACTCCAGGGCCTGGTTAATGCGTCCGGGGAATGAAGTTGCCTCACTCCTTCCTGATGCGTGGGAGTATGTGCGGAGCTTAAGTTCCGCTGTGCGTAAAAGTAAAGTTGTAATGGAACTTTTCACATGTAGCTGAACAAGAAATTATAAAATCTGGGCCGATGTTTGCAGTTTGACAATAAGTGAGAGGGAGGGAATGATGAGAGGGAGACAGATGTGATGAATGAGCACACAGCCAAAACCCACTGAAAACCAGTTCATTCTCATCCTTCAAAAATTAAGAAATAATAAAAAAAGTTGAATCAACCAAAGATTTCGTGGCCCCCTGCAGTACCTCTGCGACCCTTCTAGGGGTCGCTATTTCCTGTTGAAGACCTCTGATATAGCAGAAATGTCAAAACAGGCATTAAAATAACATTGTACAATACTATCTCTTTTGTTAACATTATTTAGAACCACTAAACAGAAATTTATAGAAACAGAAATACTACAGTGAAAAATAAGTTAAATAAATAAAATTGAATTGTATCTTTTATTATTTTTATGTGCTTTTATATTTTTTGTGTTCTGTAAGTGTACTGTGTCAATAGTCCATTAGGCATCATGACATGTAATCAAGTTCCCAGCTGAAGTGGCTATGAAGGCTACAGAGCAGACCTGACTCCCTCCCAATGGGACCTTAGACTCTTCTGTATTCTGTGCCTGATGTCTGTAAGTGCTCTGTGGAGACACTCAGAATATATATTTGCTATTTGTTGGTCTTTAAGGCACATGTTAAGGCTCAGATTGATGTTAAGACATAAAACAAGCACTCCTCTAATGGGAGATTGTTTTCTCTGACTCTACTTTGAGACCTGTCTAATCTATGACCATCCATTAACATTTATTTGAGTGATAGGCTATCTATGACAAAGAACATGAGCTGTTTCTCTCACAGGGAAACAGCACAGTGCAGCCTGTAGATGATGTGCATGCACACATTATGTTTGACCACTAACACATTCACTAGTCAGAAATAAAAAAGATGACCTTTTCACTGCAGCACAACTGTTTATCAGTCCAGATGTATCGCGGCCAAGCTTTTCATCAGTATGAAGACTTAAGAAATTATTTTTTCATTTAAAAGAGATGTTTTCTTTGATGAAATGTTTCATTTGTGGGATGTATGCTGATTGTGTTGTTATAGCACTCTGTAGGAGGAGTGACTTAGCTTGGAGAGCAAAGGGAGGGAACACTCAGAGCGTCATAAATGAAAGTGAAACTTTAATGCAAACATTAATACATTCTTTTCGACACATATAGCAAACCAACAAAAGGTAACAAGGTGATCTAAATCTGTTACATGTTAACAGTTAATACTTCATAGATGTAAAATACTCCCTCTTTAAAAATAAGGCAACACTGATTCATTAGCATCATTAATTGACTTACTATGTGAACATGTCAGTAAACACACTTTTGACTGCCATAATTATCCTTGGTGGATAGCTGGAGTTTGTGTTACATAAATTCCTTTTTCCATATCAGCTGGGCCTGGGCCTAAGCCTGGGCTTTGTGAATCTTTTGCGATTCCATTTACAGTAATAGACTCTCCAACTTGACTTGAATGTATTACATTTAAAATGGAGATGGGGCAGCCAGTGAGATCCGTGTTGCTGCAAACCTTTTCAAATTAAGGTGGAACTCTTGAAGGAGGTGTATTATATTGACAGTTTAAATTTAATATACTTAACTTTATTATGACCTGTCCAAAACTTTATTCTCAAAACTCTTCTTATACTGAACTTTAAAATGTCCTTTTTCTACCTAAGATTGTTTTTTTCCTGAAATAAAAATAGAAACCTTTGATGGTTGACTTGAGAAGCTCTGTTACATTTGCATTAGAGCAGAGTTATGAACATATATATTATCTGTAACAAGTGATTAATGAGTTATTCATCCATTGTAAAGACAATATAGGATTTTTTTAATCTAAAGATGAATTATATGTATTGCGCAGAATAAGTCCAATTTGATCTTAATTAATTTATTCATAGGCATCTAACTGTATCCCATTTAAGGCTTGCCATGGCTCTTATATATTAAAATTCTTGGAAACACTAAAATTTGTAGCTCTCTGGCATTTTCGTTTTGTAAGGATAGCTCATTGGAGGGAAAAGGTTGGAGACCCCTGATCTAAAGTACTTTTAAACTTAAGATGCGCTATATTTTTTCTCTTCAGATTTCCAGTGGGTTCAAGGTGATGTCTGTGAGGTGCAGCTTATGGTCTACAACCCTATGCCTTATGAACTCCGTGTAGAAAACATGGTAAGACTTTTGGCCAGGTAATTCACTGTTCAATTTTATCAAATAAATGAGTATCTACCAAGTTTTGTTACATTTTAGTTTTTGTATCATTTTAAATAAATTTCATTCAGCTTCTAAATATACTTTACTAAAGTCCAGTTGAAAAAAAACAAACAACAAAAAACAATAAATGCTATACTTTCTTGCCTTGTTTGAGTATAAAAATGCGAAAACCTCAATACTAGGGTCCTGTATTCCACACAATTTATTATTGTGAGCCTTAAGTCATTATATAACGTTATAATGCAGTTACCTCATCCAAAACATCCCCAGAGTTATGTTTTGTTTCATTCAAACATGTTTATTAAGTAAGCCTTTATTATTAGTCTGTCTACATCTCCCAAAGATCAAAATGCTCTGTTTCACCTTGTGTTGTCATGTAGTGGTAGTTTTCAAGTTAACAGCTACCATTTACCTTTTGTTCTGTAGAGTTTGGTAATTCCAGGGCTGAAATTATCCAAATGATTCTAGTGAAGGTGTATAGAGTTTAAAAACACAGTGGAGCACTTCCTGTATTGTGATATGACATCACAAGGTAAAAGTGTTTTCTGTTTGAGAGAAGAACTCAATATGTATGGTTTGTGTGTTAAAGATGTGTAGATGAAACAAAACACAACTCCAGGTATGTTTTTGATGAGGAAACATCATTATAACATAGATCAGAAAACAGTGTAATATGGGTTATTTTAAAAAATAGCAGAAACAACAAATATGCTCTACAAAAGGCAATAGGGAGATATTGGCATGTGCACCTGTCCAAAGTGAAGCTGCATTAATTATCTTGTAAGTCTGAAACAAATTGCCATGAAACGTCTGTGGCACTGTGTGAAAGGAGACAGCAGTGACTTCATTGTGGTGGCTGTCCCAAATTGACTTGGGTAGGTCATGCTGGTTGATTAAGTTGGCCCGAATCATGTGGTAACAGAACATGCTGCTTTAACCACAGGAAATGCAGACAACCTACTGCCTGGGACATCTGTGGAGTGCTTAACCTGAGGAGTTATCATAAGACAGGGTTTGCTTCACTGAATAACAAGTGAACTGGTGATTTGATCTTTTCAAGTGACCATATTGAGAAACTGCAGGCATTCATTATTTTAGTAATATAATTTGGCTTAGAAAATATCAGAATGCTTTTTTGATAAGTCAAAGCTTTAAAGAAACATATATATATATATTTGATATATTGAGAGATGATTGCAAAGGAAATAAATCCAAATTCAACAAGTTTTAATTGAAATTTCTAATTATTTTAAGAGGTGAGCTGCCCTATGGCCACAAATTTGGGTGACAATATATGAGCAAGGCTATTCATGTCATACCTGTACATGTCACACCCTGCTTTTTCCATTACCCACTTCTCACTGCTGCTGTTTCTAATAATCTGTAAAATATTGTAAAGTTTATTACAGCATAAACAAAAGTATATGGAGATATTCAAGGGGACATGTTATCTTAATCCACTTTTATGAATTTTTAACCATTTTGTTAGAGCTTCTATGATCATTATCTTGCTCAAAGTTGTATTTGGATTGATTCCTTCATGTTTTTGTGTATATTGTTCTGCATTTGAGGCTTGACTCTTTAGAAAATTGCCTCTACCCACAGATCTATATAAAAAAATGAAAATCAGCTGCTTGCTACGACGAAATTCCACTATGAAATGTAGGGTGCATCATTTCTGTACTTCTGAGCAGGAAGCTCAGGAAGCTTATTAGACCAGATTTAGACAAATATTGCTGTTTATATTGAACAATATATAAAATAATGCCTTACATATGTTCTTGTTTCATACAAAATACCAGAAAAAAGCAAAATACGATGTGATGCGACCAGGTGGCGCTTTAACACAGACAGTTACGTCAGCCTCTCTGGACAAAGTAACTGCGGATGTGCCTCCTGCACTCTCTACACTCTGCACTCACAAGGTCACTCAAGCCCCGCCTTCGCCAAGGTGACCCTGGAGTTTGGCACGACAAACTCTCCCTCTTATTCACAACATGACTAGAACACGAATACCAACTTTGTTTGGTACTATTGATTTTCTATTAAAGCAAGGCTTTTTTCCTCTTCCACTGTTCTTTGTCTCCAGACAGCGCACTTGCACAAACTTCTGTCTCCTTCCAACAATTAATTATTTGAATTATTTTCTTTAAAAATTGACTAGTTAATATACATTCAATGTATCTTTCTACAATAAAACATCCTATTTATAAACAGACAAATAGACAGATGGCTGCCATAAATTTGCAGTCTATGGGTTGAGTGCAACATGCTGTATTGAAGCCTGTGCTGGCCATCTTAATTTCACTTGTCTTATGGGTTTAACTATCTACAGATCTGCAAGATGACCATTTCTAGCAGGTGAGCAGTTGTGTTGCCTGTAGCTTATAATGGAGTTAATCCAAGGAGAGTTTGAATGAGATTCGCTGGCTGCACCTCAGGGGGCAGCTCGTCAGCAGCCTTCCCCACAGTGAGGTAGTGTCTGCTTTCAGCGATTGATGTAGTCATTACGTCATTGAGTCTGTCTCACACAATCTGCTACTGACTACAGGGAATGTACACAGCCAAAAGAGCCAGCTTTACCTGACTGCAAATGAACCAGATCTACATGTCCACAGTATTTGTACTTTCATTCAGAATGTTTATATATTTCTGCATTTTTGTTTCACTCAGTAGCACCCTGAATGAATTGTTGATCTGTGGAGAATGATTTGTCCACACAACTGTCCTCCTTTTTTAAATATACAAAAATATGGTGTCTAGACAGCAGATACCTAAATAATTGATACAACCAAGATCTCAGAGAAATACTAAGATGCTTACATGAGAAATGGTTGCATCATCTTATAGCTTTTCTGTTTTTAAAAGGGGATTAAAGATTTAATTATGTATTTTCCAGGTTGTGTTAGACTTGGAGAGAGAATCTAATTTTGTATTTAGTTATGACATTTTTTTGTCTCCAGGGTTTGTTGACCTCTGGAGTGGAGTTTGAGTCCCTTCCGGCTGCTCTCTCCCTCCCTGCGGAGTCTGGCTTGTATCCAGTCACTTTGGTTGGTGTCCCTCGAACTGCTGGCAACATCACTGTCAATGGTAAGTCAAGAACTGTTGTATTTTTTTACAGTGATTTTTTTTTTCATCATATATCATGCCTCAATGTTCTATATGTTGTTGCACACAGGCTACCACACATCAGTGTTTGGTGTAACTAGTGACTGCCTGCTGGAGGGCCTGCCCAATGTCAAGAGCAGTGGATGTTTGGTGGAGGTCATTCCCTCTCTTCCTCGTCTGCAGCTCAGCACGTCACTCCCACGGTCAGAAACATTCAATAATATGATTTAAAATTTAATTGTTTATATTTGCATTAAATGTTTGAGCCATGCCAGTATACATACAGTACAAGATTTACTATTCCGGTTTTCTATTTGTTTATAGGGAATATTTCTGAATATATACATAGTTAATATAGACAAACCCTTGTACATTCACATCCAAACATTAGACTGTAACAATGGCTATAATTTAAAAAAAAAACTTTATCCTGTGCTCACAATTGATCACCTGCTTATACCATTTATGTTTTCCAATTCATTACACTACATTCCCAATAAAACATTAGATTATTTGCTATAGACCTGCAGTTGCTCTAGAAGCTTATTAAAGTACAGTGTGGTACAATGTGTCAAAAAGTAAATTTCTTGTGACAGCACAAATATAGCAGAGGAGTTTGTTTACATACCTGTGTGGGGAGAGGAAATGTTCAAGCCGCTAGAGTGGAAAACATGAGAGAAGGAATCATGGGTTAAATTACTAGCAGAGAATAACAGGTAAAGCAGCCTGTGGGCTGTTGTAAATCATACTGACAGCAGAGCTGCTGCGGCTGCAAAATCCACTTTTTAGGTCAGGCCTGTAAGTACAGCACTTTAGCAGCCTCTGATGTGGAAAATGTTTTTATTCTTCGCTCTTGGAAAACGACCAGAGCAGACACAAGGAGCAAATGCAATGACAATGAAAACTCTGCCATCACGAGACCCTGAAGTGCTAAGCCACTCTACTCACAATTTGTCAGACTGAACCTAAATGTGCAGTAAGGGGATTATTAGTAAACCTTTTCTATGCCTAATGTAACATGGACAAGTGAGACTTTTCTTTCTTATTTTGTCTTATTAGTCCTTTTATTGCTTTGTAAGTGGCATGAGAAGATAAATTCTTGTGTGCTGTCAGTTGTGTGGAAGATACAGTTTGAGATGACATGGATTACAATATTACCCATTGTTCCTTTTAAGAGTCGTGACATAAATTTGTAAAATCATGAGCATGAGGAAGATTTGAGAACTTCATAATCTGATTAGAATAAATTAATGTCAACCATCATTTGTATCCTGAACTGGTTTAAGGCTGTGTTAATTCAGACAATTTCCCCATTCTTCACTGCATCTAATCTGAAGGTACAGATAAATCAAATATTTAAGATATGTTAATCCAATATTTAAGATATGTTTTAATGCCCTAATCAAAACCATACCAGGATTTGTGTTTTCTTTCATTCACACATGTTTGAGTATTCCTTTATTAATTGTCTATGTCTATGTCTATATCTCCAAAGATCAAAATGCTCTTGTGATATCATGAAGTAGTAGTTTTCAAGTTAACAGTTAAATACCATTTACCTTTTGTTCAGGCAATTTCCCGGCAATTCCATGATTGAAATTAACCAAATGATTTTAGTGAAGGGGTATGGAGTTTAAAAACACAGTGGTGCACTTCCTCTATTACTACATGACATCACAAGGTAGAACAGAGTGTTTTCTTTTTGCGAGAAGAACTCACCCTAAATATGCTGGGTTTGTGTGTTAAACATGTGTGAATAAAACAAAACAGAAGTCTACTTTTTGTTATAATATTCTTTCCTCATCACATAGATCAGAAATATGCACAATATAGGCCCTTATTAGTTAAAACAATTTGCAAGCCACAAATCATTCACTACAGACACATCAAAACAGAAGGAAAGCTATTGACACAAACAATTTCAGTAGACCTTCAGTTCATATTAAACCAAAATGAGAGGGATTTAAATTTATGAAAAGTTTGAACTTTATATAATGTTGATGTGGTACTTCCAGGTCGACTCATGCTGCTCAGCCCATGTCCAAAGAGGAACTATCTAGTTCTGTGTCCGTGCAGCTTTTCAATGGAGAGACCCAGCAACTGACCATCACGCTTGAAAATATTGGAACCGATGAAATCGAAAGCCTGGAGCTAACTTCCAAAACTGTCACCACCAAAGGTAACATAGTTTACAGAACAGCTACACTGGCTCAGTTCGGACTTTCCTATGCACAGTCACCTAGCTTTGCTGTAAAATGAAAAGCAAGAAAAGAGGAATTTGAATGAAACATCTGTATGATTTCGTCTTACTTCTGCATAAATTATGTATTTCTTTTTGTTCAAACAGCTGTTGCAAAACAAGATTTACATGACTTCATTCTTTGGTAGTACAGTTACACAAACAAATAGGCCTGTTGTCGTTTAGTTGTTTAGTCCAATAATTATTTTATTAGGATTATAAAAATGTATATGTACCCCAGGAGAAGGCAGAAAGCCTTTAGAGTGAGTCATCTGGAATTTTAGGAATGACTGCACAGTTCAGTCTGCATAAGCAGAGAACCAAAATTTTCTTTAGTCAACTACAACCCTACACACAAAGCATGCATTTCACAGCTGTATTCATTTTGCTTTTAATATTAAACATTAGTGTTTATTTTCGCCAGCTTTTAAAAATGAGTGATTACCCAGAACTACTGCTAATTTTCCGAGAAATGTTAAGAGCTTTTACAGGTTCCTCATTTCTCTTATTTGAGTTTTTGGTGGACTAAAATAGTATTATGAGAGTATTTTGGACAGACAGTCTTTGATGTCTACTCATCCACAGCCTCTGTTTCACCTCCCCTTGGGGCTTGCCTCACAAGGCCACACAGGTCAGCCCTGTTGTCCTTCTCCTCCATCTCTGTGGGGTTTTCACTATGTTCTCTGTCTCTTTGTTGGGCACCTGCTCCGGCTGTCAGATCTCTGCAGTCCCCCCACTTTCTCCTTCAACAAAGCCCAGTCTCAAGCTTTTCAGAACATTTGGAAGTGTGCCCTATGAAGTTGATGCTGTTTATTTCACTTGAGTGTAGGGATGTAATGATATTAAAGTTTTGTGTTATGATTACTGTGAACGATTATTTGCAATTATTGACACCATGACCAAACAACAGTGAAATCCTTAAAGGTATTTTACTTTTTACTTCTTAATCGGGAATTAATTGCTAACACATAACATATTTAGATGATCTTATTACATTTTATTGCATCGAAAAGGGTTTATTAGATGAAAACAACGATTAACATGTTTTATGAGTTAAGATACTGCACATCCCATCCGGTTTGTGAAGTTGTGAACCATTTTGCTTTTTTACATTTAAGGAGAAATGTCATGTTGTTTATGTGTTGGCAGTAATACTCCATAAAAGTAAAATACTCCTCTTTAAAGAGCTTACAGATTCTAGAAAACTTGTTATTGTGCGATTAATCAAATTGGAATTGAGATCAAGATTCAGTCATTTCTAATTGTAAGGGATGATCAGCTTGGATCTTTTTAATTGAGAGGTCTTCAGTCAATCCTCTGTCAGTAATTCAGCAGTGATTTGAACCAGAATTCACACTTTGGAGGAATACATTGACAGCTGGTCAGAAGTTGGTAAGAAGTCAAGACAAGAGCTGTAAATATGATTGATCAATATGAGAAACAAAAATCATTACACTTTTTTATTATATCATTAATTTCTCCTATTTAATAAACACATTTTTTTATACATTTCAAAGATGTTCCTGTTAATGACAATTAAATGTCATTAACAGGAATGGCATTTAATTGTTAATGACAATTAAATGCCCCTCCTTGAACCGTCACCTTATCGTGGTGGAGGGGTTTGAGTGCCCGAATGATCCCGGAGCTATGTTGTCGGGGGCTTCATGCCCCTGGTAGGGTCACCCAAGGCAAACAGGTCCGGGGGGAACGGGTCAGACGAAGAACGGTTCAGAAGCCCCTTATGATGAGTGCAACACAAAGGCCAGTTACATCGCCTGGATTGGCGTCACCGGGGCCTCACCCTGGAGCCAGGCCTGGGGTGGGTGCTCGTCAGCGAGCGCCTGGTGGCTTAGCCCGAAGGAGCGACGTGGGGCCGTCCTCACGTGGGCCCACCACCCGCGGGAGGAGCCATATGGGGCCGGTGCAGAGAGATCTGGGCGGCAGTCGACGGCGGGGGCCTCGACGACCGGATCTCCGGACATGGAGACTAGCTCTGGGGACATGGAATGTCACCTCGCTGGGGGGGAAGGAGCCTGAGCTTGTGCGGGAGGTTGAGCGTTACCGACTTGATATAGTCGGCCTCACCTCCACGCACAGTTTGGGCTCTGGAACCCAACTCCTTGAGAGGGGCTGGACTCTCCATTCCTCTGGCGTTGGCCGCGGGGAGCGGCGGCGGGCTGGTGTGGGCCTGCTCATTGCCCCACAGCTCAGCCGCTGTGTGTTGGAGTTCACCCCGGTGAACGAGAGGGTCGCGTCCCTGCGCCTTCGGGTCGGGGACAGGGCTCTCACTGTGGTGTCGGCCTACGGGCCGAACAGCAGTGCTGAGTACCCGGCCTTCTTGGAGTCCTTGGGAGGGGTACTAGACAGTGCACCGACCGGGGATTCCGTTGTTCTCCTGGGGGACTTCAACGCCCACGTGGGCAACGACAGTGACACTTGGAGAGGGGTGATTGGGAGGAACGGCCTCCCTGATCTGAACCCGAGCGGTGTTTTGTTATTGGACTTCTGTGCTAGTCATGGTTTGTCCATAACGAACACCATGTTCGAGCACAAGGGTGTCCATAAGTGCACGTGGCACCAGGACACCCTAGGCCGGAGGTCGATGATCGACTTTGTAGTCGTGTCATCTGATCTCCGGCCGCGTGTCTTGGACACTCGGGTGAAGAGAGGGTCTGAGCTGTCAACTGATCACCATCTGGTTGTGAGTTGGGTTCGCTGGTGGGGGAGGAAGCCGGAAAGACCTGGCAGGGCCAAGCGTGTAGTGAGGGTCTGTTGGGAACGTATGGCGGAGGCCTCTGTCAGAGGGACTTTCAACTCGCACCTCCGGGAGGACTTCTCCCAGATTCCGGGGGAGGCTGGAGATATGGAGTCCGAGTGGGCTTCATTCTCAGCCTCTATTGTCGATGCGGCTGCTCGGAGCCGTGGGCGTAAGGTCTGTGGTGCCTGTCGCGGCGGCAATCCCCGAACCCGGTGGTGGACACCGGAAGTAAGGGATGCCGTCAAGCTGAAGAAGGAGTCCTATCGGGCCTTGCTGGCTCGGGGGACTCCTGAAGCAGCTGATGGGTACCGGCGGGCCAAGCGTGCTGCAGCCCGTGCGGTTGCGGAGGCAAAAACTCGGAGCTGGGAGGAGTTCGGGGAGGCCATGGAGAAGGACTATCGGACGGCCTCAAAGAGATTCTGGCAAACCGTCCGGCGCCTCAGGAGGGGGAAGAAGTTCTTCGCCAACACTGTTTACAGTGCGGGGGGAGAGCTGCTGACCTCAACTGGGGACGTTGTCCGGCGGTGGAAGGAATACTTTGAGGATCTCCTCAATCCCACCGTCACGTCTTCCGAGGAGGAGTCCGAGGCTGGGGACTCGGAGGCGGACTCATCCATCACCCAGGCTGAAGTCACTGAGGTGGTTGGAAAGCTCCTTGGTGGCAAGGCTCCGGGGTTGGATGAGATCCGTCCTGAGTACCTTAAGTCTCTGGATGTTGTGGGGCTGTCTTGGCTGACACGCCTCTTCAACATCGCGTGGCGGTCGGGGACAGTACCTCTGGACTGGCAAACCGGGGTGGTGGTCCCTCTTTATAAGAAGGGGGACCGGAGGGTGTGCTCCAACTATAGGGGGATCACACTCCTCAGCCTTCCCGGTAAGGTCGATGCCAGGGTACTGGAGAGGAGAATCCGGCCGATAGTCAAACCTCATATCCAGGAGGAGCAGTGTGGTTTTCGTCCTGGCTGTGGAACACTGGACCAGCTCTACACTCTCCATAGGGTGCTCGAGGGTTCATGGGAGTTTGCCCAACCAGTCCACATGTGCTTTGTGGACTTGGAGAAAGCATTCGACCGTGTCCCTCGTGGTGTCCTGTGGGGGGTGCTCTGGGAGTATGGGGTTCGGGGCCCTTTGCTAAGGGCTGTCTGGTCCCTGTATGACCGGAGCAGGAGCTGTGTTCACATTGCCGGCAGTAAGTCAGACCTGTTCCCGGTGCATGTTGGACTCCGCCAGGGCTGCCCTTTGTCACCGGTTCTGTTCATTGTGTTTATGGACAGAATTTCTAGGCGCAGTCAGGGGCCAGAGGGGGTCCGGTTTGGGGACCACAGGATTTCATCTCTGCTGTTTGCGGATGATGTTGTCCTGGTGGCTTCATCGAACCAGGACCTGCAATGTGCACTGGGGCGGTTTGCAGCCGAGTGTGAAGCGGCTGGGATGAAGATCAGCTCTTCTAAGTCTGAGGCCATGGTTCTCGACCGGAAAAAGGTGGCTTGCCCTCTCCGGGTGGGTGGGGAGTCTTTGCAAGTGGAGGAGTTCAAGTATCTCGGGGTCTTGTTCACGAGTGAGGGAAGGACGGAACGGGAGATTGACAGGCGGATCGGTGCAGCTTCGGCAGTGATGCGGTCGCTGTATCGGACCGTTGTGGTGAAGAGGGAGCTGAGCCGAAAGGCGAAGCTCTCGATTTACCGGTCAGTCTTCGTTCCTACTCTCACCTATGGTCATGAGCTCTGGGTAGTGACCGAAAGGACGAGATCGCGGATACAAGCGCTTGAAATGGGTTTCCTCCGCAGGGTGGCTGGGCGCTCCCTTAGAGATAAGGTGAGGAGCTCAGTCACACGGGAGGAGCTCGGAGTAGAGCTGCTGCTCCTCCACGTCGAGAGGAGCCAGTTGAGGTGGCTCTGGCATCTCTTCCGGATGCCTCCTGGGCGCCTCCCTTGGGAGATGTTCTGGGCATGTCCCACGGGAGGAGGCCCCGGGGAAGACCCAGGACACGCTGGAGGGACTATGTCTCTCTCGGCTGGCCTGGGAACGCCTCGGGGTCCCCCCGGAGGAGCTGGAGGACGTGTCGTGTCTGGGGTGAAGGAAGTCTGGTAGTCCCTGCTTAGGCTGCTGCCCCCGCGACCCGGCCCCGGATAAGCGGACGAAAATGGATGGATGGATGGATGGATGACAATTAAATGGTTAAGTTTAGTTGTAGGATATACTAAAAGTCTTCAAACTTTCCCAGAATGCTCTACCACACAGTTAAGGCTCATCAGTTGAAGATGCCACCTCTTTGACTCCGTGCCATTTACTTTGGTATTCTTCGCCGTAAGCCTCATTACAGCTCTAAGAAAGAACTCCTGTGCAATTAATTCTATGTAACCTGTGCTGGGAGAGCTTTGAAGGGCATTTTTTGTCAGCCTTTGTTTTACACTCTCACATGGAAGATACAGTTATTGAAGCTGGGAGATAATATAGGTCTAATTAGCTTTTCTGATGGCGCTTTAAAGGAGAGACTTTATACATTCTGTTACATTTTTTATATCTCTAAATTTCACTTTTGGTATACTTTGGCTTACTTTAATAACACAACAGAAATAGTTAAAATCATTGTCCACAGCAAAAACTGACTCTGTCCTTTTGTAACTTGTAGCTGTGAGCAGATGAAATTAGTTCTATTTTCAGGCCATTGTTGGGGTTTGTTGTGGAGGCTGATAATTACTGGATATTGTCATCACCTCTCCTTGCACTGGAGTCATAGTCTCATGCTGCCTTTTGCTACCAACCAAAAGATAACTAGTGTTCTTACTGCTAATCATAACATAGCCAAGTCCTAAAGTGGCCCTTTAGTTTGGAGCTGACATTTTGACAAAGGCAGACAGCTAAAGAAAAACCAAGATGAGCTGTATATGCTGCTCATTTATCCTTAGTTTTTAGTCTAGATTATTATTTTTTTATCACGTTTTCATGGTTTTCTTACTCATCAGGACTATACAAAGAACTTTTCAGGGGTGTCAGTGTAAGTTCATTTAGATATTTTACACACTACACGCACAGTATAGAGAATAAAGTGAGACTTACCTGACCCAATATGAATTATTTAACTGAAGAACAATGCAAATGTTTCTTCTGATATACCGTAGTTCAATGACCTTTTTGCCATATACTCTAACACACGCAAGATCCCCTCTGTGTACAGCAGGAGTGATGGCTTCCACTGTTGCTTATCTGAACCCAAGACTGACTGTAGGTCCTCACCTGAGTGTACCTCATTCTCAGAATCCTAAGGTGGCTTCAGGCTCAAACTAGTGCAGAGGTAGCTTTTGAGACCAGGCCTTTCTCTGTAAGAAACTAATGAATAAAAGATGACACTCACAAAAGGAAGGCGTCTGTGGCAAAACAAACAAAACATTGCTCTTGCTGGAGTGCACCCACAGAGGCCTGACATGGGAGATAGGCTGCGTTTTTTTCTGGTAAAGAACAAAAAGCTTAGAATATTCACAGAAAGTTTGTTGATAAGAAAACAAAGGAAGAGTGGATATTATCTGCCTCCTTAAAACTCCAGCTGAGATAATGCAGGAGTCTTCAGCCCTGCGCTTTGTTTCTTTCTCTCACTTTGATGCACATAAGAGCCAAACTCTGTTCACCGTGAGCCCATAATAGAAAGCATGGTAATGTTGCTCCTGGCCAGTGTTTTCCTCTTTACAACACATAGTTTAGATTCTTCTGTGATGTTTTGCCATGTGTTTTAGGTTAAATCAGCAGGACCTGTCATTCTTAGATATTTTGTCAATGCAGTACTACAGTGTATATAGCTCCCAAAGTTTCCAAGGTAGATTCAAACAAACTTTCAGAATTTGTAGGTTTTTTGTAGTTCAGAGGAAACACTACTAAAGTCGGGGAAATGAGATAAAATATGTCTAGACACTCCCAACAGATACAGTGCATGTGACTTATCACCCTTGTGTAATAACATCATCTGCAATCTTGACTTCCCCCTGTTCAATTACTTCTGTTGCGTATTTAAATGTCTTTTATTCTTCCTGTGTCAGATTGGATTCAGTTCTCTTTCATTTACTAAGAACAGCTCTGTTATTGCCTGTTATTTAAACTAGAACTATAATGAATGCTGTCAAATCCCACACCCTGTTGAAGGCTCGCGGTTGTTTGTCTCAGCTGTTCTTCTGGGGCATGCATAAACTGTATATAGATGTGGACGTAGCAACTCCATACTGCCCTAGTCAATTGAAGCCAATCAAGGCTAGCAGTTATAGCTGCTAATTTGCAACCAACTTCCATGTTTGGAATTCCTAGTATGTTTTTCATTCCAACCAAAGCTGGTTGGAATGAAAAAGGGCAGGCGCTTGTTGGGACAAAGCATGTTAGCTGTTTATCAAGCCTGTTGCTATCAACCTAGCTGACCTTAGGGCAAGAGGGCACCTCACTGGTCTGTAATTATTGTTCACACGGATCAACAACGGTTTAAAACTTTTTAAGACCAGAATGACAAATCTCGTCCCAGCAGTTACAAAGGAAGGGAAAGTGTCTCACCTGTTGTCTTCAGTTGTTGAGCCAGGAGGAATAATTAATATTCAGACAGATCAGTCCTTTGTCTCAATAAAAGTAGAAATTGGAATCCCCAAATAAGCTGCATAACAGGCCAATCAGATGCTATGTATATCGGTTGTGCAAGGCATGTCCTAATGGTCCAGACTATGAGCAAAAAATCACATTGTCATCTCATTTCATACATTCTGTCTTTCTACTTTTTATTTTTTTACATGGATAACCCAATGTCAAATCACCATTTCTTCTGTGCACTCCTTACTCCTTTTTTCTTAGTTTCTTCTTCTTGTACAAATCTGTATATTTGCAGTGTACACTGGGTGTTCTGCTATTTTTGCTACTTCAGTTATTTTACAATATATGAGCTACTGTGTCCAAGCAATTTCTTTTGGGTCAATAAAGTTTGTCTAAGTCTAAATCAAACAAGGTAGAGTAGTGTCCTAAACTCACATCAGGGAGAAAAATGAATCTGGCAACTTTGTTGTTAATTTACTTGTTACAATAGAATATGTCTTTTTAAAAAGACCTATACTATATTAGTTAAAGAAATTATTTTTTTAACCTTTCAAAAATGTACTGTATGTAATGTAATTGTGTAAATATGTGTCCTGGGTGCAGAGAAAGTATATGGGGAGTTCCTGAGCTGGGAGATGGAAGAAGCGCTCTCTCACCTGCCTCTGAAGCCGGGACAATCTGTGACACTCGCAGTCAGCATCAAGGTCAAGCTAGACTTCTCAGGTCAGGAGAACCTACTGCAGGACCTCAATGATGGTGAGGACCACACATCACTTCAGGTTGACAACAAAACAGATTTTCACAAATTGCTAATACAACAGACAAATTGTTAGTTTTTTTTTTTTTTATCTTGTGTAAATATATTGGTGAGATGGAGTGTTGTTATTACTGTTCCTCTTCTTTAGATGGTCCTTTTTTCACAGTTTTATAGTGTGAGATCGCTGGGTCACTCCTTTCACTTGCTCCTTCACTTGTACAGCCTGATTTCTGCTCAAATTCTTAGTATTTCCTGTGATCTCTACACCCTGTCTTCTAGACCGTGTCTTTCCTCCAGTGACTCTATACTAGAATACATACTTATAATCAACAAACAGGTTTATTTCAGTTCAGACTGTACCCACATGAAATTGTTTATCTCTCTGACTGAGCCTTTCTCATGAGGTCATTTTGCCAATACAGCTTCACTATTTTAATTAACTCAGCTGTGACTGGAGCTCTGAATTGTGCTGATAACACACGACCCAGGCTGTAGTCATCATAGAACATTGTGGGAGGCAGTATTGGGTAAATACATTTGATGTTTGTCTAATTCTCTACTGTAATCGCACGCCACTGTTTTTCCACTTCTTTGCATAGAGTCTGATTGGCTTTGTTTTTTGTCTGGACTGTTGTGTGCTGGACGATTACCAAGTCCTGAAGTCTGTGCTAATTAAACGGTGAAATCTCTCATTATTTCCGACACTACTGACTCACTCAACATTTAATTACATTGCTTGGCTGCCAAATGAAGCACCTATACAATTTACATGTACATATACAAAAGTGGAAAACCTTTGTTCTACTCATCAGCCAGAATTTTCCAAAATTTTCCTCATTCAACCATGAACAGGTATATTTGATTGTTCAACTTCATTTATCTTTTTCTGTGGAATCAGTTGACATTTGACCAAATAAACATAAAAGCATCCATTCACCTGTCTATTCCCAGCTGATGCCAACGCTGCGGGCAGTGAATTACATAGTGGTTAGCCTCCAGGGCAGTTGTGTTTACACTTAAAATGAGTTGCTGTTTGATGCAGTGGCACTAAATCCTGAATAGATAAGCACTGGGCATACATTTAGCCTGGAGGTATTGCGTTGTTGCTCTCCTTTTGGCTGACCTATGTCTTTCTGCTTCTCAAGGGCAGTTTACAATACTGGCTCCACTCACTTACTGCTGTTCAGATTCTTAAAGTAGTTGTACTTGTTATAAAAGTCACTAAATAAAAACATTGGGGACATTTTACAGCTCCTGCCATCTAAAGATAGTTTGTGTATGTGTAGTTGGAGGTGAATATTGAAATCTTATTTTAGAGGAACCCTCTTCACAAGTTGTCCGCTTCCTCCAAAGTCAACACATGAATGACGGCTCACAGCTTGTGTAGTGTGAGCATGCAGTTGGTACATTAGCACTTTACATGACTGACTTTCATTTGAATTTAGTTAGTAATTAACAACTTTCTACTTTTGGACAAACACTGAAATGTGAGCTTGTTTTATGTAGTCACTGTGACACACCAATGTCCCCTGTGTTTGCTGAAGCAGAACGGACACATCAGACAAGGCCACAGGAAACCGCATTGATTGATCTGAAGAAGAGTCTGTGCCTTACTCGGAGTTCAGCTCAAGACACGGCACTATAACTCAGATCAGATGACTGTGATGTCATCACTCAGTGCTAATGGGCCCTGACTGAACAGCGGCGTTAGCGTGTTAAATGGTGTGAGCGTGCTACCTAATGACACTGCCCCCGCCTACATTAATGCGTTGCTTGTCTCTGAAGATAGTCTGGTGACTCCACTGTTATCTGCTGCAACTCAGGGCTCATCTGGAATTAGTCTTACAGTTGATGTCTGCAGACACAAAAAAAAAACATTATGCTAGCATCTACTAAGAATAAAAGCATATCACAACTGGTAGGATATGTCCAGCTTTGAGTGCTGTTTTATACAGTTCCCTTGTGCTTTTGCCTCATTTGACTCCAGACTGAGGTGAGACTGTTATTTCAATTGTGCAGATCTAAAATTATTTATTTAAAGTGGTAGTGTCCACACATTTTTCATAGGGGGACGTATATTTAAACAATGACTAAGCAGCACAGTCAATACCGTGAATCATTAAAAAATGTATTTAACATTTTCAGATTTTCAGGGGTTAACGCACCTTAATTCAGTCTTGGAGCCTTAATATCAGGTCTGTGTCACACCAAGATGTTACTTAATGAGGTTATAATGGTAGAGGACTAAAAATACGTAGTATGACCCTAACTGACTTCTGTACAGTTAGGGTTAGGGCCACCAGGAGGCCTGAGGGCCAAGAAAATTTGGCCTAAGGTCTTAGCTCAGACACCCTTGATTTAAAACATCTCTGAAATAAGTTGGCTACTTGATGCAGCTTTGAGGTGCACAGTCATGTTTATCCAATATTAAAAATGAAATGTCCTCAAAGGAAAAAAAAACAACAACCTTTTAGAAAAGATACAGCTAGTCCAATTTGATTCATATCCCACTTGCTTCGAATCCCCCTATGCCCAACATTTGTTTTTGCTGTTAAAACAAAGCAGCTGGTTTAATGGAGTCTCCAGATGGACTCAAATGGCTTCCAATAATGTCTCATCATTTGTTTGAATCTCTTTGAACAGATTTGTGCTCATTGAAAGCTCCATCTTTCTCTGTCTCTCCTCAGATAGATGAGTAATGAGGTTCATGCTGTCTCAGTGTAGCTGATTTGACAGAAAAAAATACAATGAACTTCTGTTATTTTTATTTCATTAAGTCTTCCCATTTAAAAGGTCATAGGTCACATTCAGTGCAGTTTGTAAAAAGGTTAATACAATTACATATGGACTAATACATATAGATGTGCGACAACAATAATTTTATATGTAGAAGCTGGCACAGGAACCGGATTGTGATGAAAATGCTGAGTGGAGTGGTTTCTCCTGAGGCCAGACTCCGGACTAGACCTGAACTGATGAAGATGCTGGGTGCTGGGTGGGCCTGGCTCAGAGCAATGCCAGGGCTAATCACACCAGCCATTACTCACACTGTGCTATGCCCCTGATACTGACTGCTTAGCCTAATGATGTGAATGTTTAGAATCTGTTTAGATCTGACCCGCTCATCTCCATGGAGTAGATTTTGGAATATTTCAGGCAAAGCAATAATCTATTTGGAGACAAGGAGTTGGCAGGCCCCATACTAAGAAAGTTACGTAGTGCGGCTTTAAGTTTTCAAATATTATAAATGCAAAGTACTGACTTCAAATTTGGTTCAGTTTGCCTATTAAAGCAGACTTATTATATAAAACTGAGTTTTTAAGCATGTTATAGTTATAGTCTTTCCTACCATGTCTACTCATCAAGTTGTATTTGGAGTGATTTATGCATGTTTCAGCAAATCACTCATTTTCAAGACGCTATTTTGCCAATCAACACCCGTTCACCACCACCAGCATACACTCCCTGCTCTCTACTTTCTTCGTTCTCCAATGTTACTTTCTTAATTGGTGATAGATTCAGCAGTGTTGCATGGTCAAAAAAAATCTGCTGCTTGTTGTTGGTGTAATATGCAGCTGTCCATAGGAGGGGCCAAATTGAAGGAGCAAGTTGAGTGGAAGAATGGTTACTGATGGTCAATTCAAAACTCAATCTGCAGACAGCTGACATTGCCTAGAACCAAATGTTAGAATTAGTGTCTCAGTATTTGGACAAATGCAATGACTAAATTTTTTCTCCTGCCAAGTAACAAAATGTAATGATTCCAATTTTCAAATAATGACAATAATGGAGATGAGTTGGATGGTCTTTCAGTGAAGTGCTCAGTGCTCACTAAAACAGTTCAGTGTCTGGTAATGTCCCCTTGTGTTGGGACAAATTGCAGGGCTCTTCAGTCAGCTGACGTCAGACTGGTACGATCCCTTTGACGTCAGGCTGTGGGCTCTGGGCGTCATTTTGGCTGCATTGTTTCAACGGGTTCAAATTGGCAACCCCCACAGTGATGCCCGACACAGCTACTGATACTGCAGCTGCTCCTACATCCCCACACTGCTGTCAAGGTCGGAAAAGTAAAAAATGCACTACTAGTAATTTTTGTCTGCTCCAAAATGCCTTCGGAATACTAAAGAGGATTTTTGCAATGAATCTTTAATTGTGAATGCTTGTGGTTCTTACAAATCCTTACAAAAACAGGTAGGATGAATGAATTGTGTAATCTTTGATTTTGGGCCTTCAGAGATTTAAAAAAAATGAATAAACTATTAATTTCTTAAAACCAAAGTGTGTAACTTTTGTTGAAAAAAAGAAAAAAAAAAAAGCATGTTTTATATTACACTGAAAAATGAATAAAACATGCATCGTTACTGTGAGCTGGCTTGCATCACCACAAAACTGACTCATATTTGGACTGGAGGAGGGCTTCCTCCTTGTTCCTTTGGTTATAATATTCCACAATATGGCATACAATGTATCTGTTGTCATGTAAAAGTTCCAAAGTATGGCATTAATTCNTGTGATGGTCCATGATATTATTGAGAGACTTTTGACGATACGATATCGTGATATTTTGGTTATTGTTACACCCCTGTTTCAAACACATGATTTTTAAAGCATAAAAGATTGGCGATAAATCCACTGGAAGTAGAGTCACTGTCGCGAATCTCCAGCTTCACCTCGATCCATGTGTTGTGTGGATGTAAACAGACACATGTGAGGAACTACTCTTGCCTTTTTACTTTCAAAGAACGCCTCAAACTGGAATAATAGCGGGGTTTTGTGGACTGGGTGTCAATGGATAATGTGGATGAGACGCTGCATTTTAAATTGACCATTTTATGAGACATTTCCAGATATTTTGCCATGGAAAATCATTCTGTTCCACAAACCTACAGCGGGGCACTTGTGGCTGTTGTCAAAATGGTTAAAATGGTCTGTTGTTCAAAAACTCAGACTTTCAGGTCAGGTCATACACATATGGTTAAATCCTATGTACATAAACGTC